AAAAAAAAAAAAAAAACATGATCACTCACAGCATCCGTATTGTCAATGAAAGAATCATTCTCATCGTATCCTGCACCCAAATCCACATAATCATCATACTTGTGTCTTTTCTTTCCCAAAGTAGTTGTACCCTAAAAAAAAAAAATAATAATATGAAATATTAAAACAATTATTTGAATTGAATGAAAACAATTTCTTTGTAATTCATAAATATCTCTCTGTAAAAATACGTACGTATTTGGCCTCGAATCTTCTTGCCATATCCTTAAGTTTATCTTCGTCATCGTCATCGTAGGGATCCAGCCCATTCGTCGTATTCTCATCTCCTCCTTTTTGTTCTTTTCTTCGCTTTTTCTTTTATTAACAACATAAATCAAAATACAATTACATTACATTATTACAATAAATGTATCATTTTTGTTTTTTGTTTGTTTTCAATTATTTCAGGGACTATGAACAAATAGAACACAGAGGTGGCCAGTCCTAAAAGGACTTTAAACCTAATAAATAAATTCCAAAGTTTCTAAAATTTCTTTTTAAACATACATAATTCTCCTATCAATCGGATTTATTTCATTAAATCGATAAGATAAAACTATACAACAACAAAAAATTGAAATTTCTTATATACATTAGAACAAACAAAACACCACATTGTTTCCAAAAAATCTTACAACACACAATTCAAGGAAAATATAATAATAAAATAAAAAAAAAAAAAAGAAGAAGAAGAAGAAGAAAGCGATAATATTAAACTTTGAAACGATGCGAAAAAAGTTCGATAATACCAGGAGAACATGTTTCAGTTGAAACATGAACCTACGATATAAACGGCGTATACTTTGCTTGCTTGTGTTCTACGTTTAAACATGAGCTACCTCTTTCAGCATTTTGCCCTCCTAATACAGGGACGCCACGTAGAGTGACCGTTTTCAGAGATAATATTATCATCAACAATAGATTAAAAATTCAATCCGATAACAAAACAACAACAAAATGACAAAATTCATTAAAATAGTCTATATATATATATATATAAAAAAAAAAAGAAAATAAATAAATTAAACATACGAATATTGAATTATTTCAGATATTTATTTGTGTGTATTTTAAAAATGTATATATAACGATTCAAAAATAATACGATCTTATTTTTTTTTTTTAAATGAAGGGGATGAATCTTTGGAGAGCTACGAAGAGAAAGAGAAAGAGAGAGGGAGAGAGAGGGTGTGTATAAAGAATAAAAAAAGTACTTCCCCTACTGCTGTCCTTTCAGGTACAATACAATACTATTGGGGAGGGTCGTAGCAGACGGAGTAATGTCCTATAGGAATATAAGGAATTTCAAAAATCCATGTTGCGTAGTGAAGAAGGCGCGAAAGGAAGGAAAGAAAAAAGAAAGAAAAGAGAAAGAAAGAAAGAAAGATAGAAAGATAAGAGGAAGAGAAGAAAGATCCATAAGGGCAGCCTGCGAAAGGACACTAACCACTATGCGGTGGTGAATCGATAACTATCAACGACAAAAGACCATTCTGTCTCTCTCTCTCTCTCACATACATACACACACACTCTCTCTCTTTCTCACTATACTACTCTTGTAATCGAGAGAAAGAGAGAGAGAGAGAGAGAGAGAAATGTGTGTATACGTGTCATGCGACGGTTATACGTTTATGGTGTGTTGGTATAGATGCAATGTTGAAAGAATGATCGACCGAGATGGCGGGAAAAGAGGGGAAAAAACGTAAGAAAAGAAGGGAGAAGGTAATTTATCCCCCCCCCCACCATTGAGTTTATACCTACGTATTATAAACGATTATTATTATTATTATTTAGCCTTGTACATGTTCGACAAAAATCTATGATACCTTAGAATAATAGGCTTGGCTACAAAAAAAAAAAACCCAATCGTATTTTTATTCTTTTCTAATATATATATCTTTAATTATATATGAGACTGTTGGTAACGTGGATCATAATTTTCACATACACCGTTATAAAAGCATCTTCTTTCGTTATTTTGTAAATAAAATAAATAAGAATAAATTGATCAAAATAAAAAGACAGGGGTAGGGAAGATAAGAGAGTGATAAATGATAGGAGAACGAATAGATTAATTATTAATTAACTTTGAAAAAAAAAAAAAAAAAGAAAAAGAAAATAGATAAGAAAAAAGAAAATTGTTAAAACGTCAGGAAGAAAAATGAAAGGAGAGAGAGAGAGAGAGAGAGAGCCATCGTTGTTCGATTAAACAAACACACGCACGCACGCATGAATGCATGCATGTGCACGATGATACAGCACACGCGCATGAAAGTAGTCACCACCACCACCACCACCACCACCACCACCACCACCACCAACATGCATTCATTGTCTCGACTACGAACAAAGAGACAGTGTAAAAGAAAGAGAGAGAGATTATCATAAAACATATGTGTATATGTATACGTATATATACGTCAATCGCGCACGCATCTATCGTGTAAATTCATAACGAAGAGGAAGAAGTGTCCGTATGGTCGTCGGACAAAAACCAGAAGAAACTCATTCTTTGTCAAATATTCTACATATATAATTATCCTTTTTCTTGAAATATTATTCGTTAACCTCCCCCGCCAACCAAACCCACCACCCCCCGCCATTATATACACTACACAGCAAAGAAGCAAATAATTCGCGTGAACGCGCGCGCACTTAAATGTAACAAATTTTTGATTCTCTCAATTGGGGGGTAGGGAGGGAGGGAGGGAGAGGGGAGGGGGAGATGAATAGAAAAATTAAAGAGGAGTGGGCGGAGGGAATGAAGAAGATGGGGTGCGAAAACTAAAAAGCCATGCACGAAGGCATGACATATGTCTCGAGAGGTCAAGTCGTGTTCTTATACATGCGCTCTCGATACGTGTCGACGATCACGAGTTTCCAGCGTAGCGCAGTAAAAAAAGAAAGATATAAAGAGAGGGAGAAAGATACACGAAGAGAGGAGAGGAGAGAAGAGGAGAGAAGAGGAGAGAAGAAAGAATGTATCCAGGAACATATTGTCTGATATTATTTCGAAAAAAAAAAAAAAATGAAATTTGTCTTATGGGATAACTTTATTATTGTCGTTATGATTTTTGTATTTTTTAATAATAAACATTATTATTATATGTAGTATAAAATAAAATGTATGAAAATATGGCATATATAAAGGATATTTTTCTAAGAACAATAGAGAAAGTAGTATCGTTGAAAGGAATTGTAATGTCGGCTTGTACGTTGTATTCACCTTTCCTCCTTTAGGAGTAGAGGAGTTAGTAACTAAAATGGATGATTTTGTAGTGATCTCAAGTGAAGGAATAATTCTCTAGGATATTATTTGAAATTGGTAGAAATTTTGTTTTCAAACTAATATCTCAACGTTTATAAATTCAAAGAGTTATTATTTTAATTATTAGACACAAACTGTATTGAGAATATTTCGTAAAAAAAGAAAGAAAAAGAAAATTTACTATAAATGTCGGAGAATTTAATCGATTAGCAGTATCTCTTTTCTCATGGGTTGCAAGCACACATATAGGAGACACAGGACATTGAAGAAAGGAATAATCGTCATCGAGTAATCGAGAGATCTCGTTAGGCAACAAGGACGCGTGACAGTAGTTGTCGTTATCGAGAGCGGTTGCATGCCGATGCATCTGGCATCGTTGTAAGTCGCTCTCGCGACGCCAAACCATTCGTATTTTTGCACTTTCTTCTTCAAAGTCGTTAAGAGAGATAGAAAGAGAGAGAGAGAGAGAGAAAGAAAAAAGATAGACAGAGACAGAGATAGAGATAAATGCGACCGGTGCGTTGTGCCCTTATCGAGGCACGCGGTTAAGAGCGTAACTTTTTTTACCTGTCTGTAGAGATAATTGAAAAATAAAACGATAAAGAAGATTAACTAACCTCGGCTGCTTTGTAAAGCTGAGCGTAGTTGAACTCGGGGCATGCCTTCTCGTTCGACTCTGGCAAAGTAAGCGTAAAACGGAAGGAGGGCGCAAGCTGTTTGCCCTTCTCACCCTTTTTCTCCTTCTTCGCGGCGTGGCCCAGGGACTCCGGAAACTCCAGGGTTTGCAGGGGTACCCGTTTAACCTCTGACATTCCTACATTTGCACCGAGCTCGATTGCGAATCACGGGAAACAGTGCGTTGGCCGCGACGACAACATGGTCCCTTTCTCTTTTCTTAAACACTCCACCGACACCAACACTCACACGTCGCCATCTTCGGCACGACTGTTTTTAGAGTGCGCTGCTGACGCCGATATCACTATCGCCGCCGCCGCCGCCGCCGTCGCTGTCAGATGCGCAAGCGCAGATTCATTCCCTAGTTTCTTCTTTCTTACTAATTCCCTATATTTTTCTATTGTTTAATGCGATGGCGCTATTTTTGAATTTTTTGGATTTTATTTCCCCTTTCTTTTTTATAGTATTTTCTTCTTTACATTTTTCTAACAAGTGATACATAAATGAAATGTTAAAATAAATAATAATAAATAGTTTTATCACTTAAGGCAATGATTGATTGATCTATTGTATTGCATATACACTGATGCACTTTGACGCATCATATGCATTCATCGTAAGGTTTTCTGAAATTCCGATTGGTTCGTATGAAGCATTTGTTTTGTATTGGCTAAAACTTAATATATTTTATTTAATATTTCAGTTGATAATCTTAATATATAATTTTATTTTATAATAAAATTAATCGAGTTTCAAAACATCGTCTTACTTATTTTTTATTAAAACATTTTTCTTAAATTTACATTATCGCGTCTAGATTCTTATCTTAAAATGTTTTGTGCCTGCAATGGTAAGATTAAAAACATAATTAAAACATATGCATAAAAGTATAAAAATACTTGTTAAAAAATACAAAGAATATACGTTCATTCGAACGAATCTCTGTTATTGTCAACATTGTTAACATCTTTCTTGGCTATTTTAATTTCCGAAAACTTTTGGCCTAAAACTTTCATCACCTCAGCATGCTTCAAGTTCTTGTCCTTTTTCACCGTATTATAATTTTCTTTAACATAGAGTGCGAATGCGGATGGTTCTCTTTTCGGCGTTTGCATTTGAACTGTACCAGATTTTGTTGTCTTATTGATGAGTAGTTCAAATTTACCATAACAGTGACCACATCGTTTTTTGTCGATATCTAAAGATTTAGAATGTCGTCCAATACTAAAAATTATTTGAAACAATATAACAATTAATTAAGATTAATGATAAAATTAAAAAAATTATTAAATACGATGAATCATATGAAAATAATGTAATATTTTTACCTATATCCGCATTCGATGCATCTGTATGTAAATTTTGTTTTAATTTTATAATCGTGACAACGACGAATGGGTGGAAGTTCAGGAAATACTTTGATTGCCTTGTTTGCCCTAAATCGAATATAATAAAATAAATATAATATATAAATATAAAAAATAATTTGCTTTTAAATTTACCATGCCGTCCAAAATGGTCCATGACCATCGGATACGTCATTTATTAGCCAAGCAGCAGCATGGCACATTTCATGTATCAATGTATCTCTCAATCTATCAGGTGTATCTAAAACCTGTGGAAAATTCTCGTTAATTACTAACTAAAATTGTATAAGCATATGCCACATACCTTAGTCGATAATACTAATCTCGAAGATCTGAGAATACCTCCTAATGGTTTAACAGATCTTTTATTGTAACAATATCCAGCTGTTCCTCTCATACGAACATTCCATTCTATCAACATATTTTCTGGTAATTTTTTGTCAAAAATATTCTCGTTATACAATTTATACAAATACTTGCAAAGCTCTTCTTTATTATTTTTATACGCTAGCCTATATTTTTTTGCATTTGGATGAGCATTGATCAGAGGTACTGAATCAGATAGAGAAGCTAAAAAACTTCTGTGTGTATTCTTTGTCTCGCTTTCTTCAGACGAAAGATTTCTCTCTTTTGTTAGTACTACATTTCTTGTTGTTTTTGTTGGTATATCTGCAAAATCAATTTAATTTTAATTAAACATTTGTAATGTGTTATTTGTAAAAATACATGCTTATAAAAATATGATTTATTACCTTTCTTATATATACGTTTTTTAGTAATATCATCGCTTGGATCAAATTCACTTGTATCAGAACTACCTTCTTCATCACTAAATAATAACTTTTTCTTATTTAACATCTTCTGTACTTCTAAAGAGGGATTAGTAGTACTATATTCATCATCTGTGTCAGAATCATATATTTCAATGCTTCTGTAGAAACAAATTTGGAAATGTTATTTTGCATTATTGTATAAAATTTAGAAAAATTAAATAAAAGTATAGTATATACCTTTGAACAGAAGATGATTTAGTATTAACTTTATTTGATATAGGATCAGATGCACGTGGAGTTGTTAGAGCGGTGAAATACAAGCTTTCGGTTTCATTATCAGAAGAAGAGCTATCGTTAATGAAATTTTGCGTTTTATGCTTTGGTTTTTTATGTTCTGTATTACATCTCTTCTGTTTATCTCCTGTTTTTGTTGCATAATGTTTATAACTCCTTCCTTTTCTATTACAATAAAAATCATTTTTTATTTTTTACATTATTATTACACGTATTTTTTATTTCTTATTTTTAAAAAGTAAAAACTTACCTTTCTGTTTGTACAGCTCTATCTTTTTTCATAACGTCTTTTTGTTTATCCATAGGAGTTGAAAGTAAGGCGGTTGCATTATTCCTCCAGATATTACCATACAATTTATCTAATATATCTGTACATTGTATAACGTCCATATTATGGGATTGTTTTATACCTATATTATTACATTGATCAGTAGATTTGTTTTGTTGTTGAACCCTTGAAGGTGTACGAACATCCTCATTAAGTTTATCTAAACATTTATGTGCTATTTCTTGTTTCGATTCCAACACAGAACTAATTTTATTATTTGTATCTGATGCAACAACATTATTCTTTATGGTTTTTGATTTGATTTTGTTTCTGTTATTCGGGGTTTCATAATTCAACTCCAATCTTTCTAAACTACTATTCCCAGAACTTATGCTATTTCTAATGCTTGCAGGTACATTAGTGAACGAACTATCATTAGAAGAATGTGGTGAACTCATTATAAGCCAATTTGAAATTTCTTGCTTCTTTTTTTCTGATAGGTATGTTTCTTGATTGTCAATAATTGGAGCATTGATAGATTTTTCATATATTTTAGACGAAGTTACCATATTTGTTTCAGAAAAGTTACTCTTGGTAATATCACTAGTCGTTTCATCTATAATTGTAGCAGGTGGCTTGTTAAATCTTCTTATTAAACTATCATTACTTGATAATGCTGGATGCAATTCTTCTTCATCTAAAGTTTCATCGATTATAATATTAGAAACTTTTGGTGTTTTTGGTGATTCATAAACAGCTTTTGTTGATTCGATATTTTTTAGGATTTTACTTAGATTACTTTTGGTCAATTGTACAGGAGTCTTTGATTTCTTAGAACTATTACTATTAATATCAGTCAATTTATTCAATGAATTATAATTGGAAACAGGAGTATACACACTTTTTCCATCTTCCGATGTAGTTTTTAATTGTCTATTCGAATTCTCATTCTTATGTCGTATATTTAATAATGTCGGATTAATATATTCATTTTTATATACATTAGTATTTTTATTGTGTTCTGAACTTATCGTACTGCTGTCCTTAGAACTATCATCAGAAGTATAATACGGATTCTTATCCCGTGAATTAATTTTGTCATTAAGATTAGAAAATTTACTAGCACGTTTATTTCTTGTTGATACATTTCTATATTTTTCATAAAAAGTTTCATCGTCATTTGAATTGTCAGATATTTCCAAGATATAATTTTTAAACCTTATTGCACTCTTGTAAGTGTTTGTTGGTATCACAGGTGTAATAATCTTGTCTTTATTAAAATATTCGAAACTTTTGTCAGGACTCGAGTCGCTAATAACTATTATAGAATCCCTTTTTGTATTCATTGTGTTATTTTCAGTAAGAATATCTTGAGTATCTTCTATTACAGAATTGTCTGATAATTTTAATGCAAAATCTTGGGAACCAATGATCGGTAAATGAACAATATCTTCTTCAGTCTTTTCAATACTATCAGATATATCAGGTGAAATCTGATAATCTAGTATATATATATAAAATAATAAATCATTATAATTATTAAAAAAAAAAAAGTATAAATTATTCTAATTATAATTTGTATAATAGATCATTAATTTTATTTAGCTTACCTTGTCTATATTTCTGCTTAGTAGGAAAAGGTGAAAAGGAATTATCACTGAAATCACTCATATTTTTCTGTCTTATCCTCTTTGAGGTATCTGTTTTTATTTCTGAACTATGAATTACGTCAACATATTTTTTTTTTCAATTCTTAGAATATATTTATAAATCGCTTCTTTGTATTAGAAAATTTTTTTCTATTAAGAATATCTAATAAAAAAATCCAAAATTTTGTATTCAAAATAAGATAACATTCACTAAAATAAAAGCACAGTATTATTAAAAACATTGCATGTTTATTATTTTAATTTAATTCACTAATCAGTTTTCACTTTACATTATAAAAATAACATTTCTTAGAATTATATCCTAAGAAAACGTATATATATTTTGGTTCCAAGTATATGCAGAAACAAATCTGTAAACACAAATTCAAACTTGTCGTTACAAGTTATTATACGCATAGCTGCCAACTTTTGAAAGAATACAAAAAGTATTTTTATCGTAAAATTTAATTATTAAAATTCATTAATATATATTTTTTTATTAATTACATAATACATAGTATTAGTTTGTTTTTATCAATTATTGTGAAAATATTTATTGAAAATATATCAAAATTAAATCAGTATCATATTATTTTCTCGTAAGTTGGTATAATTGAAATGAAAATACTTCACTTATCTTATAAGACAATGTTAGTCATAATATAACTCGTCAGATGACGTTACTAACAGCTCTGTCGGTAAATTTTGTTTTAATTTAAATAATTCTTGTGATAAAATTACATAAAAGAAAAAAATCCATCTTTATGTTCCAATTTTTCAAAGTTTGTTGTAAAATAATCTTTTATTATCTAAGTAATAGATTTTTATTCAAATCATGAAGTAATAAAATAATAAAGACAGGATAATCAAATTTCTTCTGAAAATAATCAAATTTCGTTATTATTACTCCGTGTTATTTATAATATGCTGTACTTGATAATATGAAGATATTCCTAGCACGTCAACGAAAGATACAATTCTTACAAATAATATTATTAGCATATTACGTGCAATGAATAAATATGGAATATTCGCAAGATATAAACAGCTATATTCAGAAAGAAAATTGTAGGGAAAACTTCGTTTGCGAGCTTTGCGTGAGTTATTTTAATGTTCTATTTTCAATATTGATACTTTTGTGATTTGTTCTGATACAACAGAACATTGATTTTCTCATTTTTTTAAATGTATAACTATAAATCACTTCATATGCATTATTTACTATTTTAACGATTAAAGCCATTTATTTAAGAGAATAATAATTGTTATACATGCAACGTATATTTACAGCATAAAACATTTATGTGTGCGTATATGTTTGAGTATTATATACCCTTTACACTTTAGTTATTCAATACGTTGTAACAATCGTGAAAGTGCAAAATGGTCAATATTTAATTGTCAAAAAACGGATAAGACAATATTCTAAAGATATATATATTATATTGTAATATTGGGTATTGTAAAAGTGGGTTTGTAATATTATAAATTCGTCCTATCTTTCTTATGTTTTTCCAAATGGTACTATAAATAAAAATTGATTACATTTAGTATAATTAATTCTTTAATCCACACGTGATTCCCCATATGTGGACGATACGTTGAATTAATTGATATAATTGGATTAGGATCTAGAAACATAAATGAGTCTTCAACAATTTCATGATTTTAATTGGTCATTTGTAGTAATTATTTGAAGAATTTCAACATACTTACTTTAAAATTTACTAATACGAATTTGACACTTACAATCAATATTTATGAAAGAAATTATTTCTTACCTTTCATACGAAAGAAATCCATCATATTCACTGAAAAGTCTCATTTGATTCACCAATTTCAATAAACTTTCTCACATCATTGGATGTAAATTTATAGAACGAATCCTTTCGTCTAAGAAAATAAGGCCCAGATCAAATGTGCGTTTCCTTCGAAGAGCTTCTATTCTTTTTAGTGGTCCAACATTTTATTCGTCCGTTGTACGATTGTACGACGAAAGATGATTTCGTAGATACGATGATCGGTGGATCATCGTCCATAGAAGTTTCGATGGGAGAACTTCTTTCATCGTCCTCGGTGCTTCTTTGAGAATTTTTTAATGATCTTCGCGAGATATTCGATTGTTCGCTCGAATCATATCTAAAAATCAACAAATGATATGATGTTAATCTTTAGTATTCATTAAAGTTAATAATAAATATAAAAAGTTATGACTATACCAAGTGCTTTGACACTTGTTAAATTTAAGATTTTTCAAAAAGTGCAGTTAATCGATGTGTGCACTAAACGACTCATATACCCGAGATTTTTTATTTTTATTTGTTTTTATTAAGCCCCACCTTTTGATACTCCTCTTGTTGTAACGCGAACTCCTGATACGTATCATACGAAATTCTTTTCCAGTTTCACAATCATAAACCGTAACACTATTGTTGCCATCCGGAGGAGTGGAAAGATTGACTGATGAACACCAAAGTGTCTCTTTAAATGCTATCCTGTATTTAACGCTCATAACATTATATAAAATTGGATTAACGGTGGTACTGAAATAATAAAGGCACCCACTCAACGGATGCAACCATTCATTTATATCGTTGAAATATGACGTTCGATGGACGTAAAGCAATCGTTGTGCGTGAAAAGGTGCCCAGCAGACGAAGAACATTATGACAACGGCGACTGAAACATATTTATGTGAATAGTACTCTTTCATATTTCCATTTTCTATTAATAGAAATAAATATCTTAATAGAATTGATTCATTATAAAACATTCATTATAAAATATTGACACGTGTATTTATGTAAATTATAATAAAAATAATAGAACAGAAAAAAGAAAGATACGTCGAGTGTTCTCAAAAGTAAATAAATCTTTAAGTAAATATTTATCGTTTCATATTTTTTTTTTTTTTTTTTGATGAAATACGTTCGTATGTATTAATTACATTTTTTTGAAGTATTTGTTTTTTGAATTTTGATCGATATATGTACGTATATCATGTTTTTGTATGCACACATATTGAATAACAACTCCATGGTCAACGTTTAACCTATTTCCCATTACATCATTTATATAAATCAAAATGGGATTATATTTCGAAAGATATGTTACGTATGAATATGTCCATTTTTCTTATCAATCAATATCAAAAATATGATACTCCTCCATTTATTACGATCACGTATAATAATTAAGAAAAATAATATTTACGCGAATCAGAAATTAAACGATTTAAGGTAGGTATGTAATTTTTCATTAACTTTTTCTTATCGACTAAACAAAAAAAAAAATATGATTCTCAACTTGTTATAATCGCGTATGAAAATGAAATAGTATTTACGTGAACTAGAAAACACAAACTTATATAAATTTCTCTGAACACTTCAAAGACAAGATCAAAGTTACATCTTATTTAAGATTTAATGTAAGAGAAAATCTTTCTCCTACTGTTAGCAAGTTGTAGTTATTGACTTACTAATGTATATATACATGTATATATAAAAGACAATTAGAAAACTTAATTTTATTTTATTTTAACAATATTCATTTCTGTTTGCTCTAGTTTAAGAATTAGCTTTAACAGACTGTATATCGTGTGTCGCTTGGCGAGCTTCTTCCAGTACTGTTAGCTATGGTTTAAAGAACATCGTAATTACGATGGATTTTCACATGTAAATCATATTTTATCTCTCAATTACACGAGAGATGTTATCTCCAGTGTTAATCAAGTTTCAAACGTTTACTCATATATGAAATGACAGAAATGATTCGATACGTGCAATTCGGAGATAAACGTTAAATTTCGAATTTGTCCTGATGACTATAATTACGAGCGCTTTTAATGAGATTTGAAGGAAGTCGATTGCTTTTTATTGTTCTCTTTTGATCCCTCAAATCTCGTTGTTATATTAACTATTTTTTCAAGTTTTTTCTATTCTTAAATCGATTTCAAGTTCGTTTGTACATCATCAAAGAGATTCAATTGATAGATTAAGTTACCTTAGAAATTGAAATCTTTGACTTACTAAGCATGCGTACAATAGCCTTTCGTGAGTGTGCTTGTCTCGTCTCACCGTGAACCCGAACCGTACCCTCGATACTGTGATCAAGAGTATTCCTTTGTATTCTGAGACATATTCGCACATAGAGAACTACTATGAACACCATAGGGATTAAGAAGAATATTATACAGCTTAACTCGTAAAGTGGGAAGTTTGGCATATTATGTAATAGCATCGCACATAATGCTGAATCCTCTGAATATCTTCCTGATTCTGAATGTTAAACAAGAGAACAAGTTTTTTCATTAATATATAAAAAATGATGATCTATAATAATAATTTTGTAATAATATCACCTGGAGGATATTCAATGTAGTTGACGGTTGTATAAATGGCAAATGGAATAGCAAAAATCAGTGCCACTATCCAAGTACCCAAAATAAATCTAATTGGTCGTTTTAAACCACTCATGGTGTAAAGATGCAAAGGATGACAAATAGCTAAATATCTTTCCAATGAAAATGTTACTATAGTGAGTACCGACGCGTAAGAGGACCTTCAAAATATCCAAGAAAAATATACTTAGAAGAAAGATGATAATCATAAAGCCGACGAAATAAATTTCATTCTTACATCTCTGATACAAAGGCTCGTAATTTACACATGTACAGTCCAAACTGCCATGGATATTGTTCCCAGAAAATGCTCAATTCATTTGGTAAACCTGTGAAACACAGCGAAACAAAGGATAAAGTTCTAACATGGAAAGGGTTAATTGACGTATTATTATTATTGTGCTCTTTGTTCAAATTATTTCTACCATTATATGCGATGAACATTTGTAATTTTGCTAATAATTATCCGCTCTATCGTTTTGATGTAATAATACAAAGAATAATATCATTTAAATAAGGTATAATAATATAACAAAATAAATTGTATCATTTTTTAGTCGAGATGATTATTTTATTTTTGAATAAATTTAATAAGAAATGTCACAAAATATGATGCTATTGTAAGAAATTTATGCGTCTTCTCCTCGAGCTTTTTTACGTCCTTATTCTTATATTGTATTTTGTTACGTATACGTATATCTATGTATGTATATATATATATAAATTTATCTTTGTTAGAATATTATCCAAAACCAATAAATTGCTTATCTACGTTTTGCGTATATATATATATGTATATGCACGTACGTGCATACACACACATAAACATAGGCGCGCACGTGTATTTTCTTTATACAACATATATTCGTACGCAATCGATAAATCTTTTTTTTCTTCTTTTTTTAACAAGTTTTCTTTGATAAGAAAGAAATTCGAATTTTTGTCGTATTTCCTGCTTTGTCAATAACTTTATCAGATAAATAAATTAAATATATAAAAGTATAAACTTATTGTATATGTTAGGAGAAAATTAGATTATCGTATATTATCTATGATTTTATATTTTGATAAAACAACCATTTGTATTCTTTCATCGTTACTTTTTATTTCCACTGATTGCATTTAGCGAATATTTTCCTTCTGCGTTTTTATTTTTATTTGTATTTGTATTTTTCTCTTCTTGTATCTCCTATACATATCTTCATACGTCATTAAAGGAGAACTTTAACGAAGCTGATATTCAAATCGAATAATTACTTACTGCTTATGAAGAATTTTCAAGTTTGGATATTCTAATGATAAAAAAAGGTAGAAAACAATGATTGAGCGAAATGAGATAAGTGGGATGCTTTGAATATATTCTCGATATAACATGGAATGTTAATCAATGAATGAGTACTTAAAATCGTCATTTAAAGATCATATCTAAAATCCGAATTAATTGTGTTCCAAGAGAATTTGCAGCTGCTGCTGCTGCTACTGTTACTGCTACTGCGATTCTTGTATATGACGGCACATCTTCTTTTGACGTTAATTAGAATGCACACAAGTTAAATGCGATATTAAAATTTACCGAAGAAAATAAGATAGAAATAGAACTAGTTCGAGGACGTTATATGTGAACGAAAAAGTAATTATAATGCAAAAAAAAAAAATTAAATTACTTTTTTTCAATTCGAATAGGAGGTATGTTCGAGTTTTTAAGCAAAATTTGAATAAAGTTTTTTTTTCTCTCTCTCTCTCGAAGAAGAAGAAGAAGAAGAAGAAGAAGAAATAATAGAAGAAAAATATTTGAATTTTAAATGAAAAGTAAACAAAAAAATTATTATCTTCTCAATTATTATTAGCAATGTTTTTAAAGTTTGCAAATGAACTTTGTTAAATAATAGAGCGAACTGTTTTTTGCTTCTTCTTCTTGATGGAAAAAGTAGGATCGTTTAAAGTGATAATAACATTGAGCTTGGAAACAGCCAGGAAGAGAGAGAGAGAGAGAGAAAAAAAAAGAGAGAGAGAGAGAAAATATGTGAGGATGACATAAAGTAGAAACTTTATTCGAGATTACCCGCAAATTTTATCTTTGCTCAAAATAACGTTGACAGTGATTGATACAATTTTTCACAAATTTCACGATAAAAAAAAAAAAAAGAACAAAGAACTTATGTATAATACGATATTTAAACAAAAATGTATTTTGAACGTGAATGTACACGTGTATACATACAAGTTCGTTAACAATTTACAATGGTCAACATTCCTCGAACTTCATTAAAATGAATAGAAACGAGTTGTTAGAGACAAAACATCACTCACCTAAAATCAATAAGAGAAGATCAGAAATAGCCAAGTTGAAGAGATAATAATTCGTAGCGGTTTGCATAGTTTGATTTTTCTTGATGACAATACAAGTCATGATGTTACCGAATACACCGGTTACAAAAATGATGACGTATGCAAATGTTATTGGTAAAACTAGTTGAAGTGGTAAATATTTGGAACCCAATTTTTTTAGCAAATATTCCGTTTCATCCAAATTTGTAAGCTCCGTGATATTGCTTAAAGGGATCGTGTAACGGCTTGAAATATTCATACCTCTTGAATACTGAGTCTTTTTTCTCGAATTAATTAATCGAGTTAACAATAGATAATAATTCGTTAGTTTTTTTTTTTTTTGTTCAATATTGAATCAACAACGATTTTGATTTCTTCCGATCATCGTTGATACACACTAGAAGAATCAAATAAAATCTCGTGGTAAATAATAAAAATATCTTCCGAATATTTCTGAATTGTTCCATGTTTATTTCGTTTTTCAATAAATTTATGACAACTTGCATCACAATTGTTAGACTTCCTTGACATCGTCACGAAACCGAATCACGATTTGAGTTTTTACACAAAAACTCATAGCTTGAAGATTTTGTTATTATTTATTTAAATGATTTTAAATGAAAATATGATCTTTCTAAAATACTTATACGAGAGTTTGACAATAGAATCGATTTTCGAGTGTTCGTGTGAACACTTCGTGAACAAGTGATGATCACTGAGCTAGCTACTACTGCTATGACTTTCATCCGCGTTTTCCCACGCGTCCCATCTACCACGCATCCAACCCTTATTTTCAATTCGAGCGAGTCTGCGAATTAGACCTTATCATTCAAAAAATATAATCGTGCGCATGTCATCATCATGCATCAAAAGAAGAATGCACTTTCAAAGATGCAAAGATGCCAAGAGAGAATTCATGCAAAATCCAAAAGAATTTCTTCGAACATGTATTTTATTCTCCGATCTTGTCCTATGTCCTAGTAACAACATTCATAAAATTTCAATCCTATATTTATCATCATTTATTGTACTTAATCTTTTATTTATACCAATATCAAAAATCGTTTATTCATCTTTTAATTTGTTTTTTTTTTATTTTTTATTTTTTATTTCAACAATTAACCACAAGTCGTACTCATTTATTTCTATGAAACTTCATCATTATTTGTAATCGTAACACTAAATCCAATATAATGAATAAACAAATATATCACACACAATTGTGATCGGAATAATTAATCAGATATTAGATATAATTAGTTATTTAATACTCGCTAATACTTTTATTACCACAGGAGATAATGAATTATTTCTATCGATTATCAGATTCTACTAATTTCTCAGTAGTACTAGATTGATTAATTAAATTATCGATTAACTACTCGCACGTAATTCTTAAGATGCAATCTCTGTTGAAATCAATTTTCCTCACGTACTCGAGGATCCCAACGTGTTATTTACTACCATCCATCAGGTGGTAGCTATAATTGTATTAAGAAACAATTTTCATTTATAGAATTAATCCTGAACAAAAAAAATCAAGGAAAATTTAATTTCTTACAAATTCGACGACGTTTCATTTCTCGAAAAAAAAAAAAACAAATATAAAAAAAAAAGAAAAAAATAAAACATGCAAACGTGACTACCTCTCTACGCGCGTATAAACTTTAATGGAATAAAATAATATAATATAATATAATATATTTATGAATGCGAACTTAATTCACACTCATTTTTGAATATAATTTGAACTACATCATCAACGAGTATCATAAAATACAATAATATATTTTCTTTTATTCAAACGAAACTTGTTTTCCCATGTTCATATTGACTTATTCAAAAGTCATATTTACATTTACATTTTTAATTTTATGCAGAAAAAAGTGCATCACATCCTTTTGAGAACAATAAACGAACGAATTGTAGTAAAGATCTTTCATTTTTTCTCCCCTGTTAATCATAGCCATTTTAATCGCATGGATGGGTGAATGAACTTGAAACCAATGAATGTGAAAATAACCACCTCTGTATGGTGGCTCCAAAACTTGAGAATAAGAATCCAGTAATAGGAGTACCGTGCCAATCACGAGAGCATAAAAAAAAAGCTGCAAAAGTTTTCCCACGTAAATTATTCTTATTTCTTGGATAAATATTTATATTCTTTGTGTTCAACAAAAAAAAAATAATAATTAAATTCGCTTGAAATCTATTTGAATTATTAACGTTCGAAACTACGATTAAGTTTATGTAATGTGATTAATCGATAAAAAGAATTATTTCACATTTCAAAGTAACATTTTTTGCTGGGAATACAAAAAAAAAAAAAATAAAATAAAGATATCAACAAAAATGAAAGAGAACCAATATGATCGATCCATTTGGACAATCCGTTTGGTCATTTGTTTTATACTTCTTTGATGAATTATCAAACGCAAGAATATTTTTTTAAACAAATATTATCATTGATTTGTTCGTCAGTATTCGCAGTTTGGTTAATCGTATTAACTAACTGAATTGAAACACCCCATTCTTTAAATTCCACTGTGTACGTATTTTTCTCTTTTTTTTTTTCGTTTGATTAAAAAAAATAACACATTACGGACAGATGAATATGGATAAAACAGCGAAAACTTCGGGCAGTCATGTAAATTGTACGAAAATAAATGTTTAATTAATTCATTTAATTATTATAATTAAATCAATATAAAAGTATGGAGAAAACAAAAATAGAGAGAGAGAGAGAGAGAGAGAGAGAAATACTTGAAATATGATTTTATTAAATGCAAATACCAAGTTCTTATCATTTTTGTCCACAATTCATTGTCTAGTTTGTAAAAAAAATTTGAATTATTTCCAATTAAAGTTCAAGCGTAATATTATAAAAAAAAAAAAATAATATAATTATTAACGATACATGTTGTTATTACCGGCAATGGTGAACGTTTATTATGTAATCTCAAAAGAATATCCGAAAGGATACATTTGAAAATGATCAGAATAGGTTCGATTATGATTAATTTCACAGTTTCTTTAATTAGAAATAAAAGTACGGAACAAATAGAGTCCATTCTTCATATTAATTCAAATGATTAATAGCATATTAGATGGTTTAGGTTAGATTTAACATTTTGACCAAAATTTAGGCATGCCCAATATAATACGATTTGAAGTTAATAAGAAGTTGATAGCAATGAAGTTAATTGACTTTTTATAAAAATACCAATGTAAGTATTCGTCCTATTGCATGAGAATAAAAAAAAAAAAAAACTATTAAGTATTTTCTTGTTTTGTTTATCAATAAATTGAAATCAAAATTGATCATTAAAAATCTGTAGCCAAATTAGAAATCAATTATTCGGGAAACAAAGGAATGCAATCGTTTGGAATGAATTTTACATGTTTTTTTCTTTTTTTTTCTTTTTTCTACCTTTGAATTTCATTATTATGTGCTAAATGTTCTTTGTCGTGTTATATGCATGTGATTTTTGATTTGGTATATACTGAATAAACTTTGAAATGTATTGACAGAGGGAAACCTTATATATATATATATATACTGTAGTATCAAATGCAGCAATATAGAAGAGGAAGTGAGAAGGGAAAGTAAATGAATTAAAGTTCACTGATTTCGCTTTGCTCTAATTCAAAATCAATCATCGGCTTTGTGAGTTTACGTAAAATATATTTGAAAATAAAATAACAAATTACTATGCTTTTGGAATAACAAATAAAAGGAAATTTTATGTAACAAATTAGATTCCTTCCTTCCTTCCTTCCTTTCTTCCTTTGATATTTCGATAGATTAATGTGGAGAAAATATAATTAATTTTGTTGGTGATTTATCGTTAAAATGAATGATTTGCAATAATTTCTAATTCTATAGGTATCCCATAAAATTAATTCTCTCCGTAATTCTTTACTTCTCTCTTCTTATTGTCGATGTTTTTATTGAAACAAATATTTAATAGGGACTTTTTTTTTTTTTTTTTTTTTAATGATCGATTTAATAAAAAGAAGAATAAAATTACACTTTCTTTATTCAGTAATACTGATTCAATTTTGTATTCGAAAATTTTGCCAACAGTAAATTATTAACAAACTGTACAAAAAAAAAACAAATCCAAATAAAAAGTTAAGTGCTAAACATCTCTTTACGTATATTTAAAATATTGAATAAATAAAATTAGCACCGAAATCATTTTCACATCTAGTAAGTTAAAACTGATAGACGACAAATGTAGAATATAATATCTCGCCAATTATTGAAAAAATTATTGAAAAATACACGATCATAGTTTTAATCAAATGGAACTACTAGCCGTTGAGATCGATTCTTTCACAATCATTTTTGACGTTGTAGTTTCCGATGTTATACTGCTTTGTTCTTGAACAACAATATGTCCACCGTTGTTATTCAAAAGAGATTTGGAGGGATCCTCGATCGTGGCATTTTGAATTTCACCGTAACGATCGTGCGTAGTCTTATTTCGTGCAACTCGATCTCGATTTGACGTAAAACGAAATACTTCCTTCGCTTGACCGAATGTATATCTAGAGACAAAAAAAAAAAAAGATTCAAGATCAAATTTAATCATTCTTTTTTGATTGATATTATTTTATTATCATTATCAAACCTCATAGAACACATAAAACGTGGCAAATGTGCTTCTTCGTACGATTCGCATCGACAAAGATCTGGTGACGTAATGGTCCAACTTTTTCTAACTTTCCTCTTGCAACAAATAGTTTGTTTAAAAGCATCCCTATACTTGACGCTCATTAAATTATACAAAATTGGATTAACTGTGGTGCTAAAGTAATAGAGACATCCGCTTAATATATAAAGCCATTCGTTCAAGTCAGGATAATAATCGGAATCATTTGCGTAAACGTAAAGTAATCTTTGAGCATGAAAAGGTGCCCAGCATAAAAAGAACATCACGACGACAGCACCTATACAAAGAAATAACATATATGCATATACGAATATACATGTGTATCGTATACTTCATTAAAATGCAGCATTCTAATAAAAGGAGGAGGAACGACAAGATGTACTTAACATCCTGATGGTTGACTTTCTTGATTGAACCTGTCGCGTTTCTCCGTGAATCGAACTGTGAACGATGGGCCCAACTACACGTCTTGTACTCCTATGTATTTCTAAACCCATTCTAGTGTAAACAACGAGGATAATGAGCATCGGTAAGAAGAAAAATATGATGCAGCTTATCTCGTAAAGCGGAAAATTTGGCATACTAGTCGAGAGTATAGCACAAATTGCTGATTCGGCGGAATAATTGCCCGAATCTAAACGTAGAAAAATATTCAAATGAATTATTATTATCAACATCATCATCATCATCATCGAATAGTATACAAATTTCAATTATATATACGTATAATAATATACAAAATTATAATAGGTACGATATATAGGATACGAAACGTCATATCATCATTGTTAATAATCAATATTATATTTTGTTGTTTATATTAACCTGGAGGATATTCGACAAAGTTGACCTTAGTATAAATTGCGAACGGTAACGCCGATATTAAAGCAATAGACCATGAAGCGAAAATGAAACGTATTGGCCTTTTCAATCCACTCATGGTATAAACTCGAAGGGGATGACAAATGGCAAGATATCTTTCCATTGAGAAAGCTACTATCGTGAGAACTGACACGTAAGAAGACCTGCAGAAAATACGCACAAACTAAGATTAAAAAGAAAGGATTCCCTAAGGAAATAAAAGACTCGAGAAAATCTCTTACATTTCGGACACGTATGCTCTGATTTTGCAAAGTGTTAATCCCAAAGTCCATGGGTATTGTTGCCAAAATACACTTAATTCATTGGGCAAACCTGTAAATGTTTCGATTTAATTCGAACATTAATCCCTTAAGCAACACGCTTGAGTTAATTCGAGCGCACTAAACCGGCCGATTTCCGCACGCTCGAGTTAACTCCAGCGGCGTATTATTTTATATTTCTATGATATTTTACACTTAAATATAATAGAAAAGGGAAAATAAGAATGTGAAAGCAAAGAAAGAGAATCGTTTTTTTTTTCCAAAATAGTCATTCGAAAAGAAAGATTAAAAAGTCGCCGTATGTGTAACATTGCAATATTCGGCTCTTCTCTGTAATGTGTCTGTAATTTTCGAAATTTCTATAAAGTTGATTGTTCATCGTTTATTTTTAATTCAATCTTGTATTAAATCACGAAAAATATAGTATATATATATATATATATATATATATTTATATGCTTTTTCGTTTAATAACAAGCAACTGTTAATACGAAAATTCTGTATTAGAGAGTTGAAGGCTGAATTTTCATTCGGCGATAGAAATTTGACAGAGATTTGAGGTGTCTCGTAATGACGTAAATAGAAGCAACCTTACTATTGATAAATAAGACACAGACGAGATAAAATCGCGAGTGTACAAAGCACACACAAAGTTAAGATTAATTTAAAACTCTTATCTTCATTTCATATTTTAAAAGAAGAAAACTTATCGCGTATTGAAATCGAACACCTCGATTTATAAAATATCTCTTCATTTTCAACAAGCTTTCTCTTTTCAAAATTGAAAAAAGGATAATAAATAGAAAAAGAAAAAAAAAGAAAAAAAGAAATGAGATTTGTATGAAGTGCATTTGCGTCATCGTAATCTTTACCCTTTGGATTACTTGAAAAAAGTATACGACGATCATAAAAATCCAATCAGTTAATCTCAGTCACGAACTTGTCTTAATCGATAATCAGAAATGATCGTTCATCAAAATGTTTTCCTTAATTACAGTAAAATAACTCGAGAGATAGATATCGTCATCCGTTTGACGTAAAATGAAATCAAAAAAGATCAAGATGGAGGATAAAGTGCAACGTTAAAGAGATTTACCACGTTGTTGATTCGATTTATTTAGATTAACATTAACCTTGTTATGCTTGTTGCACCGTAAACAATTGTTTTTTTTTAAATGCACCATCAAATGTTGTTTTATGTTTTACCTATATACGTAGTAAGCTTACCGAGTATAAGTAGAGTCAAATCGGAAATAGCCAAATTGAAGAGATAATAATTTGTAGAAGTTTGCATCGACGAATTTTTTGCTATAACCGTGCAAGTGGCTATATTACCAAAAATTCCTGACACAAAAATCGCCAAATAAACGGTAGTCAAAGGCAATACCAAACTCATTGGAAGATATTTTGGACCTAAAACTGTTCTAAGAAATTCAAACTCTGTCATATTTTTCATATCCTCTTTGTCCAAAAAATCATTTTCTTTATCAAGAATTTTATTCAAATCCATCTTGTCGATAATAATATGCTTCGAGTATCACAATGACGAACTTGTAATTAACGTTGATTAAAAAGAAATTAGATTCTTTTGAAAATGAATCTTCGTCAGTTGACGAAGCGTGTATCATTCATTGTGAGAAACTGTAACATCGATGATAAATAATACAAGCGAAAAATAATGATAATTCTCGTTTAAACGACAAATTCAAATTCACAAAAGAATGTGTATTCAATTGGAAATATGGTTTCCTTGTTTAAATATCTAATAATCACATTACTTCGTTAAATTTAACAACTCTTAACGCTAACGTCATTTATTATTGATTTTTCGTTTGGCGAGAATTTGACTGACGAGTAATCGCATTTTATTGGTAAAATGATCCTTTTAATCATTCGTTCTCTCGTATTATTATTCCGTTACACCTTTTCCATATATCATCAACTTTTTCTAAATACTTTCTTCTCTGTTTCTTTGATTTAATTTATGCTTAACTCGTTCGTGCATTAGCAAGAAAGATAGAAATAGATTCATGTGAGGAACGAATGTTATGATTGTCTAGTTTGCAAACAATTAGAATGTCGTAGATGAACGTGTTTGCCTTTGCGAATCTTCGTCGTAGAACTTTTCACACTATAATCTTTCTCAACGGACGGAAACATACTAACTGACTTTAATAATCGGTAATGATAACATTGAATACTCATTGTCATCAAGTATCTCTCTATGAATTTCGATGATAAAAGACGCCTACTACCTACTCTTTCCATTCGAAATAACATTAACTTTCTAAGATTAATTTATGCACTGTATCTTATACAGTATATCATAGTCTTATCTGTAGAGTACCGTCATGTCTTAAGCTTACGAAATATTTGATTTTTATGTGAAAAATCGTCTCGCGTCAATAGCTGTATAATAAAACATCAATTTTAAACTGTTTTCAAATAGGTACACTGTTAAAAAAAAGATCATTTTTTAACATTTAATTATATTATAGTAGACGATTAAGATTATATAATTATATAGCGGTAATATTACCCGGTTGCCCAGTTTATATGATAGTTTTATGTAATCTAACGATTTGCGCGTAGATTAAGTGATTATTAACCTCCTAGAAATGTGAATAACGATCGTTATTAAAGTACATTCATCATGTGAGAAAAGTAATTAATATTTGTTTAATATTTTAGACATTTTCAAATTTATTTGAAGATAAACACGAAACAAAGAAAACAAAAACAAATAATAAATTGAAAAATGTTATCCGTAAAATATTTCAATTTTTTTCTATATTTATTTTTCAATTGAAAAATACATCTTAAAATGTGTTTATAAAAACTTGTGCTAATTTTTATTCTTAGATCATATTACTTTACAGAACGATTTACTAATAATACAAAAATGACATATTACTGTATGATAAAAAAAAAACACCTAATCTATGCAGAGCTGATAAACATAGTAGGCTTTCCATGAACTCAATGGAAAATACGTAGTTATTCATTTTCCGTATATAAAATTCGTTTATAACTTTTTAACAAACCTTATGGAATATTTCTTTTTTTTTTTTAGATGTAGATTAAACCTTTGCAGGCTGGTCGTCTAAATTAGAAACATCCTGCTCGAACAATTGCTCGAACCTTTTATAACAGACAAATGATTTAATTTGTAAATTTAAATTTTTGTAGAAAAATTTATTTAGGTATCAAAAAAAACTATTAACACTTTTATAGTATTATTGTAATAAAATAAAAAATCTATTCACATAGGATTTGGCGCTAAGACTATAAACAATAATATATGTTCAATTTATGTACAAGTTTTTTTTTGTTTACAAAATTTAATTTAATATCTTAAAGTAATTATTAATTAGATTCTTCATCGGAACTCGTGTCTGAATCACTCGACGTATTAGAAACATTAGTTCCTATTCTATTAGTATTTACAAAAATATCGTCATAGTTATCTTCTTCTTCTTCTTCTTCTTCTTCGTCGTCGTCTTTGCTGTTATTTTTTATCATTTCGGTAGGTTCATTTTTATTCTTGATTTCATCAAATTCTAATGGCCAACATTTCTGTGCGCGGTACAATTTTATATGTTCCTAAAAATAAAAAAAAAAATAAAAAAAACATAATAACATTGTGTACTTAATTGCAATTATTCGCATGTATATTAACAATGAAAATTTACTCGTGTTAATATCTTGACTATTTCTCCTTTAACTTTATCACCTTCCGCAATTGGTTCGACTAATACGAAGTCTCCTGCTTTAATCCAAATGTGTCGTCTAAATTTAACTGGCATTGATACGAGGTATTGTTCACCAACTGAGTTTATAATCTCATGAAGATTATTGCCACGCGATCCAACAACTTTGACGATCAATTGAGATTCTGTTGGAAGACTAAAGTCTTCCACTTCTTTCACAACATGTTTACGTTTCGTTGCTTTAGACATTTTCAATAAGAAAATCTACGAATAACAAACTGTAATAACAAATGTAATAACGTCAAAACAAATTATAATTGAATTAAAGTTCTTTTTTAATATTTCGATTTAATCGATCTACTATTAACTTAAAATATTATTATTTTTTTTTTTTGTAATTAAATGAAATAATATCAAAGGTAGCAACTGATTATAAGTAAGCTTGATATATATTTTTTTTAATCAAATCACGTTTTCGTTTTATCACGTTTCGTTCCATGCCACGATCCTAAGGATCTACCAGATTTTTCCAATGCCGCTTGTATATCTAAACTTTCTCCAATAGGAATACCATATCCACTTTCAAGCCCATAGGGATTAGATGGGGTGTTGGAATTTTGACTTGATTCTTTTCGAAGAACCGTATCTACTTCTACGGATGCAAAGAAAGCAACTGACATTGGTAAATCATTCATACCAAGTCTTAAGGCACAGAAAGATCTTGTCATAAGATTCGTTATGTGCATTGCTAGAGCAGCATTGTATTTATATCGCGATGGAACTAAATATCTTATTTCATCATGAAAAGAAAGACAAAACCTTGCATTATCTTGCATTAACCATCTCATTGAAACCAACATTAAATGGAGGAAATCAACAGCACCACTTTGTACTACCCAATTGACTTTAGTAGGCAGATATTTGTCTTCTTCTTCGTTACTCTCTAATGCTCGACTAAGTCTACAGTTTAAAAATGGTGTTACAGGTTTAGGACTACAAGCTATTTCTTCAAGCTTATTAAACATCGCTGATTCTGATCCACCAACCCATTTGCTTTTGTTAAACATTTCCTTCAGTGGTTTATTAAAAGCTTTTGCTAGCTTGAATGCTTCATATGTTGAATATTGCTTATCTTCAAAATCCTCGTTAATGTATTCCGATTTCAATGTGTATACTTTATTACCTTTAGTTAGAGCAAACATTTTTCGTGATTTAGAAGCGGCCTCGCTTTCTGTCATGGTAGGATTAAATTGTTTCAGTAATCTTTCAGCAAACTTTTGTCCAGCACCATAAATTCTAGCATAGTTGATTACTTTCGCATGATCTCTAGATATTCCAATAGCCTTTGCAGTAACACTGTGCATATCCGTACCATTTGATTTGTTGCCTATTAAAGTCATCCATCCAAAAGGTGTAGCTCCATGAACTTTCTTATAATATGCATCTCCAATAATTGATGCAATCCACAATTCTTGACTGTCGACGTCAGCACCAACGATATTATATCCTGGTGGAGCTTGTATCATAGATCGTAATTCAGAACCTATACGTTCAACGTGTGCATTAGAGGCAGTCATCCATGTTGGTTCTACTGCTCGTCTTGTTAATGTACCACATACAATTACTTGTGGAATTATTGCACCAAACTGTGTCTTATGTTTTTTTAAATGATTTGGTAAACAGTGCTTTTCAAACCAAACAACTACTTGAGACATTATCCTATCTCTGTTGTTTCTCCAATAAGATAGCTTTCTTGCTATTTTCAAAATTTTTGTAGCACTTGAATCTAATCCAGCAAGTATATTATCCGAAAACTTGTTTAAAAAATCTTTAGCCAAGGGATTACCGACGTTGTTATTGATACCATCTTTGTGTGGTAATTTGAAAAAATAACAACTATTATCTAAAACAACATCGCACCAAATTCCAGTACCTTTGTACATTGTATCATAATCTGCTTTCTCTTTTTTCTTATATCTCCAAAATTCTACTTTGTAAAGATCTTTCTCTACTTCTTTATTTAATGTTAACATTGTATCGTTTGTAGAAGCTTGAAAATTAGTTGACTTAGATAAAGGACATTGTTCTAACAGTTGTTTCAGAGGTAATTTAGTTTCAACATCCAAATCATCGTTAAATGGTACTAGTATACCCCAACCATGTTCCTTAATATAATGCAAAGGATAATTCTCCCACGTTAAGTTTAAAAGTTTAGGTGTAATTTGCATAGACGTACTTATCAGTTGTGGTCCAGGTTCCCAATTCTCATCAATTTGCTTAGGACAAAGTTTTCTATACCAAGCAGGATAACCTGCCATATATGGTACTTTAGCTGGTAATAAGTATTTCGTTTCTTCTAAATAAGAAAATTCTTTTTGCAAGGGATCTTCGTCTTCTTCATCTGTTAAATATGATTCCGAATGAACAAACTTAATTTCTTGATTATTATTATTATTCTCTTTTTCTTTTAATTCTTGTAATTTTTGTTGAGAGAGAGAAGTTTTCATCTTAATATTTTGAGTACTCCAATCCTGATCCCACATCCATAAATTCTCTTTGTATTTGTCATTATGCATTAATTTACAAACAGCGTCTGCTCTTTTAGTGAGTATAATTTTAGATTCATAATTTAAATCTTCGTAAGTAGATTCAGCTTCTTCCAAATATCTTTGCCAATTGGAATTCACTGGAAGATATGAGCAGCCAAGTTCTAACATTCCAGCAAAAGTAACAGGGTGTGGAAATCTTTCTTGAAAAATTGGAAATAATTTCTGGAAGACCCTATGAGTAGCCAATACATCGGAAGCACAATAAGACATTAAATCATTAAATTGTTCTTTTATCTCATCCAAAGAACCTTCTACAAATACATTTCTTTGTTTTTTACTGATATTTTCTCCGCAATAAAGTTTATGCACTTCGCTCAAACTGTTAGTTGAGGTATTGTTAACCCAATTTTCAGTAGACTTATTTAATTTTTCGTTTTTTAAAATAGTTCTCTGATAACTATTTAATCCACTAACACATACATGCAATGACATTGTATCTATGAAACGGGTTGCAGTAGAATTCAACCAATACTGTTCTTTTATCCTTGTTCTATCATATGAAACATTATGGCCAATAATAATTTTTGGTTTCTTATGATAATTATTTAATTTAATACCACATTCATCGGCATTGCTTTCTATAGGAATTAACATGTTTGGAGTAAAATAATTACTACCAAAATTACCTTCCACATTTTCTATTAAAATTGGCGAAACCCATCCATACCACGCCTTATTGGTAACAGCTGTAGCTAGGGTAGGTAATGGGCCTTCTTTCATGCAAACTTCCACATCTAGAATCATTCCTTCTTCTAAGGGATAATTAACGCATTCTACACCATCACTTGTATATCTTGTCCAACCTTTTTGTAATAACCATTTTGAAGGCATTTCAGGTACATCGGCAATTATTTTATTTACAATGTTTAAGTAAGGAGTTATTTGTTCCATAGCAATATTATAAAAATGTTCTTCTAAATTCTTTCCTTTTAACGGAGGTAAACTTATATTGACGTCTGGTATTGGTTTTACATCTTCTGTATTTATTCCATAATTTTGTAAATTCTTTTTAATACTTTCTATTGTATCTTGAGATAGATGCACATGGTTTTGATTTTTATTAAACAAATACTCGTACAATGGCTTAGAAAGCATTTGCATATTGATTTCATTAAATCTAGTAATACTATTAATACTATCATTTTTATTATCATTCTGAGATTGTTCTTTATTTTCCTCTTGTATATTATTTGTATATTTACTCTTGTAATTACTATTTTTGATTTGTGATGAATAGTTTAGATTCTTTAATGGAAATAGAAATGCTTGCTCGAAATTGTCTGGCAATTTAGGTTCATTTATTGCATAAAACTCCTTAGATATATTTGTATCAATCTTGTCTGAAGACGAAAGTGAGAAAATGTTGACATTCGAGTTACTTTCTTTGCACAAAGAATCATTGATATTAGAGGTTATATTGTTTGAGGTTATACCACTTTTACCATTACTAATCTTACAATTTTCTGACTTTTTATTTCGTAAAATTACCTTTTTCTTGGCAAATCTTTTTAAAGCATACGAATCGACTTTAACAGCACTGCATTTATGTCTTATGCAAATATGAATTAAACGTGTTTTTGATTGCATTTTCAACACGTGTTTACACCCAACCTAACACTTATTACAGAATACACCATCTTCGACACGTGATGTTAAGTATTGAAAAAAAATGAAAAGCAGCTTACCTATATATAATAATTGAATTGTTGTCTTTAAAATCTTGTTAAAAAGGATAATAACAGCTGTGTTAAATATTTTGTATATTTATTTATAAAATTTCACTAATCCACCAAGATAGTATTCTGTTGTTCGTAAAGAATTTATGTACAAATTCCTCTTAATAAAGCAGAATTCTATTATCTTAAGAGATTGGTAACGTGCAGGAGAAAGCTTAGTAAATTTAAGAATTTTTATGCATCTAGTAACAATTATCTAGTAATAATTTCACAAATACATTTATTTCAAATATTTTAGTTTGAAAATAGTATTTTAACCAATAAAAATAAAATATATTATTTATAAGGAAAACAAATGCACAAGTAAGAAATTTCGGTGATTTTGATTAATTCTAACTTAATTTAATTCTACGTATAGAAATAGGTTATTTTTTGAATATAGTGTTACGTCTAGATTGGACTATTGACCTAAGTGTTTAGTTATTTGCCTGTGATTGGTCAAACTGTATTCACCGAGTTTAAAACTGTATTTACCGACCGAGCCTCGAAATCGAGTCTCGACCTATAGAGAGAATCGTAAACCAGTATTGAGAAGAACTGCTATAGATAATAATAGTTATTTTTCAAATCATTTCTTTGTGCACTGTTTTATCATATATATAACTTATATACTCAGTCGTAAAAGTAGGAAACTTTATTTTCAAAACAAACATAACCTCCAATCATTTTCACAACTTTTAAACTTTCTCTCAAGATAGCAGCACATTTTCAATTTTTTTTTGTTTTTTTTTTTCGAAAAATTTCCTTTATTGGTCTCTGTAGAAAATTGCGTAGGAAGAAGAAGAAGAAGAAGAAGAAGCATCTATACACCATGGAAGAAAGTAATCTCAGGGGAAATTAAAAAGAAAAGTAATTACAGTCGTTAAAGTTACGGAAATGACACTTTTCCTTGACAAAGAGAATTTGTCGTTATACATTTTAATAGTACAGAAGAAGACGTCATCTTTGAAAAAGATATAAAGCTGTTATAAAGTTTCCTTTCTTCAGTGATAATTTATATACGAGGAAGATAATAGCAACTTCCTTAATTCGAAAAGCAATTTTTACCGAAAATTTCAATTACGTTGAAAATTATTCATGAAATCGATACGATGATGGCAATATTTTATAAATAGTTTGAATTTGCAACAAGAGAAAAAAATAGTCATGAATTTGTAAAAGTAGCAAATTCTCACTCCTAATATGCTAAATTCATTTAAATAAGAAATCGTGATTAAAAGCTTTAATATTTTATCAAGCATAAAAATAAAATTGTACTTTTTTTTTTGGGACACAAACAACGTTTTTCCATTTCGAGCTCTTAGCACTTCGTGTTTTACCCATTTCACGAATAAACTTATTTTAAATCGCATTAGAAGCTCAAGTTGTGATCGTTAGAATAGTAAATTTAAGAATACTTATTAATGTTTTTATTTTTCTACGTTATAGCTTAAGAATGATGAGCAAACTTCAATAACGTCCTTCTTTTTCGTGCGTCATTGTGTATCGTCTCATTTTTCCCTTCTTTTTTTTCTTTAATAATGGTGTATACCTTAGTTAGTACACAATCTTGACATGGCCGATGTTACAGCATGCAGGATCGATAAATTTAATTTCATCGTTGTAATGTTTGCCTTGTAAAACGCATTTCTAATTTAAGGCGACGTCGAGTAAATCTACTGAACGTAAAATTGTTTCGTCTCATCTCGTTAAAGTCTCTCTCTCTCTCTCTCTCTGATTATTTGGATCTGAAAAATTTGGATTTTTTTAATTATTCGTTTAATTTGTTTTTTTTTTTGTTTGTCATAGTATCGTAGCAAAAAATAAAATTTCTTTTTAGGAGAACTGCAAGTGGCCATCTAACGCGTAACCTTGGCCTCCACTGTTTGGATATCACATTAACACACGAGACACATATAAGAGATGTTAATATTGAACACGCGATCGCGCGTGAACACGCATGCATATAAAGAAAGAGAGAAAGAAAGAGAAAGAGAAAGAGAAAGAGAAAGAGAAAGAGAGAGACAGGAAGAGAAGTAACGTTTTCGAGTGACTATATTTCGTTCCAAGTTCTACTTTGGTAAACTAACTTCAAGAAATGGGAAGAATTTATGTTTCACCTGTGATAACAATTTGCAATCGGTCAGATGGCAAAGTGGCCAAATCCTTAAATCTTTCAATGTCTCTCTTTTGCTGAGAGAATCAGAGAGGCGGCGCGGCTCGTTGACCTAAGTGTTCATGCCTTCTCGTGATTTCAGTCAATAAGATCGTTATCGTCTCATCCGTTTCGTGTTTGTTTTGAAATAGATTTTGATATTTCCTGTGAGAACATTTTTATTTTCCTCGAAGTCGAAAGTCCCCAGATAAAGAAAGGAAGAGAGACAGAGAGAGAAAGAGAGAGAGGAATTTATAAAATAGAATTTTTCTGGAATTTTATTACATTTTTTTTTGTTTTTTTTTTTATCTAATTAATTATTCATTCCAAGATATTGCATGACGTACAATTAAAAGATCGGTTAATTAATAATAAGAGAATCGTGTTTTTCCAATTTGACTCGATAATATTGATCAATAGATTATCTTTCGATATTTATTAATATATTAGAGTAAAGGAACGTTATAAGACAAGGATAATAAGGCGAAGGGAGGAGGAAAAAGAAAGTTCATAGGTTCTGTTCTTAGGAGGAGGAATTTCGTGCGATGCGATTCGCTTAGCACGGCACTAGGACGCGTCACTTCCTGGCCGCGTGAGTGAGCTCTGACCCGTTTTATAAAGAAAGAAGCCAGGTCGAGTCTCTATCGGCTGTCCATCTGGTTGGCGTGTGACCTTTCGCATCCTCGAACTACCACTACCCCTTTCTTTGCCTAGCGAATAACGAACGAAGTAAGTCCAGAAAGGAAAGAAAGAAAGAAACGATCGAACGAACGAACGAACGAACGAACGAACGAACGAACAATCGAAGCCTACCTTTTACGACCTTTTCCTTTTTTTATTCTTCTTTCCCTTTTTTTTTTTTTACCCCTAACTTGCTCTCTATTTCTTTCTTGTTTTTTTTTTTATCTCTCATTCTTTCTACTTTATTTATCTGTTTCTCTTTCCATCGAAAAATGGCGAGCTTGAGTATGCTGCACAAATGGATATACATATATATATATATCGACGTCCATCTTCGTTCCTTGTTGATTTGCAATTCCGATTGGACGTATGCTAATTTTCGAAAGCTTCTCCTCCCAACTATTGGAAAGCAATCTTCGCTTTTCTCCATGCCGACTTGAATTTTCTTTCTTTATCTTGCTTTTTTTTTCCTATTTCCTAAAATATCTTCGCGTGTTTTTATATGTATATATCTTTTTTTTAAATGACGCGTACCGATAAAACGATAAAACACGGTAATTGACGAAGAATGGAAAACGCGTGGACGAAGGTAAGTAAGAAAGTAGAAAAAAAGAAGTAGTAGTCCCCTTGCATGTAGGGGAACTTAACGTTTTGACGTTTTAATTTAAATGGAACACCGACCAAAGTCCCATAAAATTATTGCTTCTTTATACGATAACTCTTTCACGTCCATGGAATTGCCTCCAATAAAAACGTTCGTCGACTAATTAAGGTCTTTAATATTAGTCCCAGCACCCTTCTTCGTTTTCTCCCTTCTTTCTCTTTAATTCGATAAGATATGCATCAAAGCTCGCATATATTCGTACAATGAACGACTTATGAAGACAATAAGTTTTTCCCTACATTTCTTTTCCCTCGAACGCAACAACGTTTATTATCCCGTTTTTCTTCTCTCTTCCATTTTCTTTTTTCTTTTTTCTTTTTTTTTTTTCTTTCTTTCTTTCGAACCGCGCAATCATAAAATAGTGATAACGTCGTTTTGAGAGAAAAATGGTTTAACGAAAGTCAAGCTTAAATGTCAACTTGTTCGTGCGAAAATTCGAATATTAAAAGAAGGCGCATTCCAACGGGAAGTTCAAGTTTTCAACGACGCTCGCGTAGCGTATACTCGACACTTTTTACGAAGATTCGCGATAAGAGAATACGACGAAAAACGGAAACCATTTTAGTTGGCAAATGTGCACCAGTAAGTTTTGTAGTTATCACGAAATGACTAAAAGAAAATGCGAGAGAGAAAGATATAATATCCGGTGTGTGGTACTTTTAATTTATTGTTAAACAAGATGACGCTTGACATTTTCTTGCAAAATTGTAACAGTTGTTGTTGTTCTTTCTTTCTTTTGCAGATTTTTTCTTTTTACAGTTTAAGGAAAAGAAAAAAGTATATCTTCAACTTCAATGACGTTCATTTACTTTAAGTTTTAGCCTAAGGTCAGCATATGACTCTTTCATCGATCTTTTTTTTTTTTATTTTTTTTTTTTTTTTTTATAAGTAAGCCACGAGAACATTAGTGAAATTCATAATTCATCTTCCTTAATCTCCTTGTATTTGAAACAAAATGTCTACACACGTAGACAAGAGTACTTTTATCCGTGCAACCTCGAGATGTAACTTGGATAATCGACGCACGGCACAAACGTCCTCCGTATTCTTTTCGCGAGAACATTTTATACGAGATCTTTATCCCTTTATTACACTACACTTTTTTTCTTCCCCTCTTATGATTAGATATATAACTTCGAAAGTACTTTTTCAACGATTCAATCTCGTTAAAACGTGAAGCGTACGAACGTAAGATACGAATTCTTGCGAGAAAGCCTTGACCCGTTCTTCTACTTTTCTCTTTTCGTCTTCTCACGTGTTCATTGTCCTCCCTCTTGTTAAGAGTGACGTCACGATTACATATCACTTTCTCGAAAGTCAAGCTTCTAAAACAGGCTACGTCATTGAGTTAACTCATGCTGAGAGAGAGARAGAGAGAAAGAAACGAAGAGGGATCGTTGCTCGCAAACGATAGAAACGCAAATCGCGTGTCGAGCCTTTCTTTTCCCTTATCGAAATAAAACAACCAGGGGGATTCGTAAAGTACGCAGGTTTTCTCCGATCAACTTACTCGTATCTTAAAATTGCGATACCTACATTAGGAAAAGGAATATAAAATAGTATTTTTTTATTTAACAGTCTTATATTTTTTACAGGAAAAATATATTAATCACTAAACAGTCGTTTAGTTTCGATCTGTAATATAATACTTTTTGTTGTTGTTGCATTAAACCCTATCAGCTAACTAAGTTTAGATCAATCACTATGATTATATCGATTCTATCGGCTAATTCATTGGCCCCTCGTCGATCAACGTTAACACGCTCTCGCACTTCATGTTTGAATAATTGAAGGCTCCTCGAGGAACGATCATGCTCATCGAATTAGGTCGAGGAGTAGTATCAGACTGATTGACAGGATTGCTAAGCACGACCTTGAGAACGTTTCGATGGCACCGTCTGTAACAAAAAGGAAATGAAATCCGRATCGATCGATCGTCTTTCTTTCCCTAATGCGAAATAAATATTAACGAGAACGTTGAAGGATGAAAAGGAGAAGGTAAAAGTTTGAAAGGTAATGCAAATACACGAAAGGAAAACAAAGTTTTAGATAATCGTCGATAATTTCATTGGAAATAAATGTATTACAAATCGAAATGTAATTTATCTGTGCAATTAGATTTGTCCTTCAATTGGTTTTATTTTAATAATTCTATTTGCCATTGAAATCTTGCGAGAAATGTCTTGGATAAGATTCGCAATTTTAAGTTAGATTTTTATCAATAAGGGTATATCGCAAAAATTGTAATACACAAAAGGAACGAAAGGCGAAAGAAGAAAGAGAAGTTTATAACTGACATGCAATAGGTAATTGTGGGGCATATTATTTCGTCACATAAATAGTCTTTTATGCTTACACAAAAATGGCACTTGCTAATTTTCTTAGCTTCGTCCTTGTTATTATACATGAACGTATATATGTAATATTATACATATACTTATTTAAGTAGGGGTATATATATATAAAATAATTAGAAAAATAAGCGTGTGGACTCAAAAGGAAAATAAATTGAGGACAGAATAAAAATTTGTCGATCGGTCTAAAAAAAATGTAATGTCAAGGTTACTTACCCGTCACTGCCATTAGTTTTTCCACATTGTTCTTGAGACATATGGTGTCATTGACCTGCACGTATTGCCAGTTACAGCTACACAAACCGTTCATGCAAATAGCTCGGTTCTGATTGGAATCTAAGTAGCACTCGATGTACGACGTGCAGGATTCGCCGAGAACTGAAATAGAATCGATTTTTATTATTATGTTAATTCCAGATGGGTCGAGTTATTATGAGATGACCTATGTTGGTGATAGATACACAGATGTTCTGTTTTATTTTAGATTTATTTTATATCGCAATATTATTTTATGTAGTTATATATCGTTTATTCATACGTTTTTTTTTCGGACAACTGGAATGTCTAAAGTAACGATCATCGCCACAGATGCAAGTTTTAATCGATGAGTTTGAATAATTCGGATTCCAGGAACAAATCGAATTCGGTGTTATAACGTTACATTGTATATCCTCCGAACATTCTTCTCCGTATTGTGCAGCTTAAATTAAAAGTAATAGCATGTCGTAAATCAGAAGAAGGTATTCGCTTAAATAGAGTGCCTTATAATTCTTACTTGGCAAACAGGTAGACGTCGATGAGCCGATGTAACCTTCTTTGCAAGTACATACTCCGAATGAACAAAAAGTATGAGTTGGTGTACAGTGATAATCCAAAGTGCACGTTGCGTTAACACCTGAAATCAATTGGAGAATCTAATTAAATGGAAAAAATCAATTACCATTGTATATTTGAGAAATTTGATTACCCGCATAGCACTGTTTTTCAAACTCGTAATAAGTGTTATTGCAAACGCATATGTTATTGACACATACAGAATTCGAGGTTTTACAATGTTCGTCGTATTCGCAAACCATTCCCAATTCTAAAATAGAAAACACAAATAGAAAAGTTAAATGATTGGTAGGTAAATGTATGAACAGTATTACTTTTGTACATCGATCGACAGACATTTTAAATTTACCCGCGTTAATATTTAAACAGGTCGTTTTGTCGGAGTTCAAATGTGTGCCTTCAGGGCAATTACAACTATTATTCGTACAAACGAGAGTGCCGTTAAATTCTTTAACATAACAATCTTCGTCCACATAACATGTATCATTTATTCCTTTATTTCTCCAACAAAATTGTAACTTTTCGACGAAATGAGATCTTTCATCATTACATAGACATCTATTGTTCTTGCAAATCGCATCAGGACCAAAAATGGAACATTGTTCGTCACGTTGGCAAGAATTATTATATTTTCTCGTAGCTAAAATATTGATCGTACAGTTTACATTAAAAATATTAGTTTTATTATTAACGAATTTAAAAATAAATTTACCTTTCAGACATTCCTGATTATTCTTTGATGGGAGCTTTTTATTAGCGCAATTCCATGTATCATTTTTACAAATTATATTTGGGTTGGTTGAATTTTTATTCTCGCATGGTTGACCGAGTTCTAGGAAAAAATACATGCAAGTGTTACTATCATTCATTTAAAAAAAAGATGACTTTCTGAAAGTATTTTGTAATCTTTAGTTTACCTGGAACGCATACTTTGATTTTATCATTCGAAGAAGATACATAGTATGCACGTTTACAGACGCATTTTCCTCTACTACCACATATTGCATTCTCGTAAATCTCACAATCGGAATTTTTTGTACAATTATTCAATTCGGTCGTCATATCTGCAAAAAAAAAAACAATAAAAAGATGTACATAAATTGGTATTGTGCCTTCGATCATATGTTACTGTTACCAATTTTTTTTTTCTTTTTACTGTAAAAATATTTACCATTTTCATCAGCAAATTTTCTATCAAATAAATTGTAGGTAGTTTGCGATATTATATTATAATTTATTTCCTCTTGATCAATAGTACATATATCATTGCAGTAAGCACCTTCATTAAATTTACAATCAATGTCCACAACACATTCCTCACCAAGATCTGAACAATGAAAAATCGTAATAAACTTAACGTAATAGTAAAACTTAATAATAATTTCCATAAATAAAAATAACGATTATATATATATATATATCTTACTTGCTTTCTTGCGACAGGAACGGTATTCTCTTTGATAGAATCCGTCACGACATTTACAAATTCCATTATCGCAAACGGTAGACCCAAATTCAGAGTTTATGTGGCAGTCATCGTTAATTCTACATTCCTTGCCAAGTTCTACGTTTGAATAGAAGTTTGAAAGTTAATGAAAAATAAGATTAGAGACTCGATCGTTATTCTTTATTTTCCTGTTTCCCGTGTAGTATCCACCCTTCACCCTATTACCCTTTTTCATTTCATATCTTATCTTTTAGCACACACCCACATCGTAATTTTCATGATCTTACGAGCTTACCTACTGTCTTGTAACATCTACCATGAAGATAATAAAATCCTTGCCCACAGACGCATGCGTTTTCGATGCACTGTCCACCGATGAAAAGATATCTCGAACATTGTATTGTTTCGTTGCACTTGTCGCCATAATTATTAGCAACTTTTCAAAAAGTATTACGATTCGAATTAGTCATTATTGTTAATTCAGTGGCATTGAGTGATATAATGAAAGAAAGAAAGAAAGAAAGAAAGAAAAAAGCAAGAGAATTATTACCTGGTAAACAAGAACTCATATCACTGTTATAAACGTAACCAGACGTACACTGACATTGTTCATTTTTACAAACGCTGCCTTTGGCCGTGCATTCGAAATCTGATTTGCAATTCCACTCGATCTTGTTCGTCGAAACGTCATTATTCTCCGATGGATTATCGTACGAATTAACTGAAATTTCTTTATAGAATGACGTTTTATTATTTGATTTAGAAAAATATTTGATAGACGTAGCGACAAAGTAAAACTCATTGAATTGAAATGAAATTAAGGGTACGCGTTAGATTATGTAGAAATTTATCATCACGCTCCGATTGTCATGCATGAGCGTTATATTACTACAAAAAAAAAAAAAAAAAATTGCATAAAAGAAAAAAAGAGGAAAAGAAATTATTAATAGAAGTTATGAAACCACCACACGAGTACCATATCCATGCAATCTCTTTTTATTCCTCTCTTTTTCTCCTCCATTTCACACTTGTGTTTATGGTTTTTAATCTCCTAGCACTGTTCGTATCGCGAATGCATCTCGTTCCATTAAACTTTCAACTTACGTTTTAAATACACGCTCTTTGAGCTACCTCTTCTCCTTTTTTAAACATGTTCTCTCTCTGTTTTCTTAGCTTTTTTATTTTTTATTTTTTAATATTTTTCTATTCGTTTTCTCTTTTAACTTTCTTCTTCTTGAAGATAACTCCGACATTCGTGTTATAACATTTTTCAATTTTGTGAATCGGCATGCATAATTAATTTTAAATTAATAATGCAAGAAGCTTGCAAATAACCTTTGGAATTGAACTTGACTTTATTCTTCAATTTGTAAGTGTTTTATCTATGAATTGAAATTCTTTATTCTATGCATTTAGTACGACATCGAGTTTTACGATATTAACGTTTATTTGTATAATTAATAATATTTGAGTTAGATATAGCTTACCGGAATGAAAGACTATTTGTATAATTAGGAGAAAAATAAATGTAGAATTCGTAGGCAGCAACATGATCGTCGGACTTGTCACGATACAACTGTATTCTCTGATATTGTCATTTTTTGTCAAAAGTATGGAGTTTTATCTAACAACATTAATGCTATCAGATAATGATTGAACACCTGGTTCGATATCGAAAGATGTAATCTTTGACAAATGTCTTATGAATTATTTCCGATATCGTGTTTTCTAAAGAATTATTGAAGAATAACACAACAAAAGTATTTTAGTAAATTTTATAATACTAAACGTACTATAAGATCAATTTTATTAATTGAATTGATTTTTAAACAGTAACCGATTTTTTCATTTTAAATAAATAATTAAATTTTCATTTAGTATTTAACTATCACTACTACCAATTTGACTATTATTTTTATTTAATAAAAATAAAAAATAGAACTTTTGTTATAAAATTCTTATAAAATCGTCGTTTGAACTATTATGATAGATAATTATTCCATATAATCTATCGATAGATAGATTCATTGGTAAAACCATTATTGCGTACTATGATTTCATAAAAAAAGAAATTCAACGCGGAGAATAACATTTCTTAGAAAATATATCTTGGTAATATCCGAAATACGAAATTATAAATATTTTGTTTGAATCATGTCTAATAGCAATGATGGAAATAATCAAATGAATGATCAAAATAAACATATTTATATATATATAATTTGTATCAATAGGAAATTCATTGCACAACGATTAAAAAATAGATTAAAAATGTACGCAAGCAAGTTACGTAGTTATATAACAAAGTTGTTTTCAAATAAATTTATCCTTTATTCTGACGCAGCAGTGTGTTAATGTATAATAGAATAAAAAGAAAAAATATATACATTAATATCACGCGAATATGGCGTGTAGGAGAATATTGGTTAGTTCGCAGTCTTGTGTTTCACATTTCATATAACAATATAGTTATGAGATGATATAAAAGCATAATCAAAGATATTATTGTTTGATTCTGAAACTTTATTATTCCACGTACTAATTGTTTTAGTTAAACTCTTTGGGGCACGGTGGAATTAAAAGTGTCCCACCTTTTTGATACACCGTAATGCACAATGGGACATTTTTAGTCCCACCCTCAAAATCTTGCAATAGTTGCAAATTAAATTATTACTCTTTCTTTCTTTAATGTTTTTACATTATGTATAATACCTTTATTAATAAAAAAAATATATATATATATATCAATTTTATTTAATTTAAAACGTTCAACAACATATGGCTATTTTATTATCTGAAATAATTCTGTGTCGCAAAGAGTTAACGAAATTATTCTATGAATCGTTACGCGTGCACGGATACAATTAATTTTCGTTTATTATATATTTATTACCTTAGTATTAAAAATATTACAATATCTCATAAATAAACAGTAATATCCGATGAAATATATTCGATGAAAGTATCTCTCATAGTTGAGAATGTACATAAAGTTATCATAGCTGACCCCGCAAAATGATAAAGTCTGACCTTTCAGTCTTTTCTTTGTAATTTTATGCATGTGGTAGTCTGGCTAGTTTATCTTAGCTTCGACTATTTATTTTTATTTTTGTTAAGCTTTGTCAGGCCGAGGTCACTAATACGTTGTACGAAAGTTGAACATTTAACGTTTTCATTTCATCTGAGAGCTTCAGTTTGTTATCGATCTTTCATCATGGAGGAACACTGGAGTTCTAGTAATGGTAAGTGGATATCTATTGTTTTCTTTTTAAATAAATATTTTTTTTTTTTTTGAATATTAGAAAATTTCCTTCAATAATTCATGTTTCATAGGTAATCAATGTTATGATAATAATTGGATAAAATTGATTTCAATTTCAATTTCAGTTTGATTTTAATAAGATTGTTTTTTTTTTTTTTTAGATAAGCTTGTCTCAGCAGAAGAAGGCTTATTAAAGCCTGAAATAAGGAAGAACATGAAAGCAGAAAAATCTTATTGTTGTGAAAAATTGATACAAATCGTTAAATTCATTTTATATTTTCTATTGATTTGTTTTGTTGCATGGAGCGGTTATACTTGTTGGCAAGAGTACAAGCGAAATGAAAATATTCATTTCTACATCTTCAATTCAGGTTCTAATTCATCTAGCGAAGGTAAATCTTCGATAGTTTCAAACGAATCACCGTCATTATCTTTGAATAATGTCGAAGAAACGTTGGAAACAATGACGACGACAACAAATATTCCTTTTGAAAGGGTTTTATTTTCGAATAGAATTCTATCTAACGATAATCAATTTGTTACAACTACGGAAATTCTTGATTCGAGTTCAGATAAAGATGATATTATTACAATGAATCCTGAAGAAAAGGTTATCACTAATCCCTTTGAAAATACTAGTACGTATAAGCCACTTAAGGATTCGTCTGAATTACAAATTGATGATTACAAAAATCAAATGAAAGATACTACGTCAAGTTTAGAATTAATGGAAAATAAGGATAAAGAAGATCATGCGGTGTTCGAATGGTACATCCCATTGTTCTCTACTATTTATATGGACTCTATACTGTCTATTGATAATTCTTCAAAAGAAACCCGTAACTCTGAAATGGATGAGTTTGTAAAAGAATTTTTTCGGAATGTCGAAGAACAGAATGAGTTGTACTCAAGTAGTATATCTGATGAAATTACGGAAAGTTCGAGAATGGACGTAAAGTCCGATTATTGGAATCCACAAGCTACTTGGGATATTTTAGAAGATTGGAAACAAGATAGTACTGAGGCATCAATTTTTATCTCAGAAGAAATTTCCGAAGAAAAATCAAAATCGAGTTTTTCTCATGATTCGTTAATTAAAAAAGAAGAAGAAGAAGAAGAAAAAGAAGATATGCATAAGTATTTCAAAAGAAATCATGGTCAAGGTGACATTGACTTGATTCCTTCTTTTGCAAAAGACGAAGACTCTGAAAAGTCTGATACCTCGAAAGTGGAAGATGATAACATGAATGAGTGGAAGTCTGGGTTATTTTCTACCTCAGATTGGAGAATGCCAGATAGTAGTATTGAAAGGAGTAATACGGAAGAAGAGGAAGAATCTACGGAAAAGAATATATCGACGGAAATGTCTGTTACATCTGATGAACAACAAATTGAAAAAGTTGTTAATATTCTCAAACTTTGGGGAATTATTGATAGAGATGATGACGTTGACTCTTCTGTATATTCTTCAACGGAAAATGTTGATTCCGAAAAAAAGATTGAAAGTGAACAACGTCAAGAACAAAACCGTTGTATCAAAGTTATAATCAATGGTATTGAAATAATGAAGTGTTATTTTATTCCTTTTCAATCAACTAAAGAGGATCTCCTTGGCTCATTAAACTATAACTCGAATGAAATGAAATCACCTGATGAATATGTTGATAATAGTTACAATATACCTTATCCGGATACAATAAAAGAATCGATGGATTTTCCAAATTTTGAATCCAAAAAGCAGGATTATGAAATGAAATCACCTGATGAATATGTTGATAATAGTTACAATATACCCTATCCGGATACAATAAAAGAATCGATGGATTTTCCAAATTTTGAATCCAAAAAGCAGGATTTTTCAACAGAATGGGAGCCGAAAATGGATCCGATTACGGATGTGTATCCTGAAGAAAATTCGTATCAAGATGTAGAAGATCCAATACGTTTGTGGTTAGATTTGTCTAGGTATAATGAAAAATAATCAGCGTTTGATGACGAAATATTAGAAAATGAAAAAGACAAATTTGAAAGAGTATAGGACAAAGTACATATTGACGATAGAACAAAAGATTGATAAAAGAACGTGGTCTCTGTGCCAATATTATATTAAAAACGTCAAAATTCTTATTGTTGACATTTTTGATCAGAAATATTTTTGATTTATCAAAACGTGTATTAAAATAGAAATGAATAAATTTATAATAGCGCGATTAGCGTGTTAATATTGGCCTTTTTTTTAGTATTTTGAACAGAAACTTTCTTCGATGGTGAAGAAGACTCGCATGGGAAGAAAAGAAGGAGGAGGAGGAGGAGGAGGATGACGATGAACGAGAGATTTTATTCAGATATCAAAGCATTATACAAACTTTATCTTTTAGAATTTCAACTCGATGATGATTATGTATCGAAAAAATGATCAAATCAAACCCCTTACAAATTATAGAATAAATATTTTAATTATTATTTATCTTGAAATTCGTAATTATTTCTTAAGAAGAATAATGAATAAATAAATAATATTTAATGAATATATATATACATATATATATAGATATTATTTACTTGTGATATGTAATAATTTAAAAAGAAAATTCATCCCAATGGTAAGAGAGAAACGTATAATAGAAATGTAATTATCAAATTATATTGACGATGATGACGATGATAATGAGGATCGCAATGAAATTATATTCAATGATATTCGTGAGCACTCGAAATAAAAGCATGTCGCAGGACAATTAATGCATTACTCAAATAACCGCAGTGACCACCAGGCCTTGAACTTATTTATGCTAATCTGTAAGGATTTATGTCGGTGTTAAGTTGATAACGTTTCTATACGTTAGCTAATTGGCAATTACAATTATTTGATCGGTGATTACGCAATGACCTATTTGTTGATCAACCTCGTCACCATTTTCGCGATCTGTTTGTATCGTGAATCTGAAAATGTTCGTTCGTTTGATTTTTTCACATATTGAGAAGATACAAATTGTCACGGTTTAAATTAGGTAAACGTTATTTCAATTTTGTCGAATAATCAAAATGAATTTATTTTGAAACTAAACTTATCATTACAGATCCAAAATCACCATTGGTTTTTGAATTATAAAAATAAATGCAATTTTTAATATTTTTCCTTTTTTTTTTGTCCTTCGTAGTATTCAAAAATTGTTTTATTTATTATTATATGATTTTTGTTTTGTTAAAAATCGGTTTTACTGTATAAAATAGGTAGACCTACTAAACTATCGATATGTGTGGTGTTTTAAAGGACTTTAAAAGCTGCTATTCTCTGCCCTTGTTCAAATATTTTGCGTTGATCTTAATCGTATATCGGAGCGCGCACGGCCGCGTACACATTCCAATAGTTTAAATCGAGATCACGAAATTACACATATACACACACAGTGGACGCGTTGTGTTACTTTTTCCTCGTTTTTCTTTTTTGTTTTATTACGATCTTTATCAAGAGCGTGCTCACCGTTCTCTGAGTGTTTCATGATTCACGCATAACGTTGATTTTTACGTTCGATTTACATTCGTCGTCGTCGTCGTCGTCGTCGTCGTCGTCGTCGTCGTCGTCGTCTGAAAATGTTTTTTTTTTTCTTCTTTTCCGTTCTTTTTCTTTTTTCATTTTATTTCAAACCAACCAGTCATCGTCACCGTCAACCGAAAGAATTAAAAACGAAGTGTTATAGTAAGTTGACCTTAACAAATCTTATCTCTCAGTCAGATTGATACTGCGTTGCTTCGTATTTCTTTGTAAAAAGTGTAAAGATAAAAAAAGAAAAAAGAAAGGTTTCATTTAAATTCGCGTGAGTGGTCGTTCGCCAAGGTATTATTTACTTTTTCTTACTTTTTGAACACACGGTGTGTATTATTGGTCGATCTTAAAGTGTCTAAATTGTTAAGAGAAGTAGGTGAAAGTAAAGAGAAAGATATCGTGACGATAGAGTTCCCCTAGCATGCTCGAAATGTAACTTATTGTTGTTAGTGTGTTGGGCATTATTCGTACGAACAAATACGAATTGTTAGTTGTTGCTGTTGCTGTTGCTGTTGCTGTTACACGAGTAAAGACAAATCTTCTTTACGAAACTTTATATACTTAGAGCTATAAAACAGTAAAAGCAATGCAATAAATTGTCTCTCTCTCTCTCTCTCTCTTTCTCTTTTCGTGCTAACGTCACCGGAAGATTCTCTCTTTTTCTTTGTTCTTTGCTCGAATTAACGTTATATACCTTCCAGCCCAATTTTCCCTTTGTCCTTCCCCTTTTCGCACGCTATTTTCTTCCTTTAACAATTCAGTCGTTTATTTATTATATCCTAAAAACAGATCGAATTTTGTAATTCTCTCTCTGACAGACCGTGATTGCGATAAATACTCAATCATCGATCGATTTCTTTTTCTTTTCTTTTCTTTTCTTTTCTTTTCTTTTCTTTTCTTTTCTTTTTTATTTTTTCTCTATTCTTTTCTTGTTTTTCTAACGTGGCGACGACGACTATCGAATCAGAAATTGTTAATGGTGTTATAACGTTAAAACGTGAAACACGATTAAAGTAATTACAGTCTTTTGTGTATAACTTATTTGCTAGTTTGAAAATTATGAATATAATACGAGAGTAAGTTGTTTATAAAGTTTCTTCTTAGATAATTTTAAATCGAAACGATATGCTTTAAGTTGTAGTTAGAAATGAATTTTATTCTAGAAAAACGATATTTCTTTTATCGGCAATTACGATTATTGTACATTTTTGTTTGTTTCGTTTAAATATATATATAAAAAGAAAAGTACGTTGTTTTTGAAGATAACTTTATCGATAAACGAGTAGCGTGTATTTTTGTCAAAGCAATTAAGTAGTTTTATTCTTAAAGTTGTATTTTTGTTTGTTTGTTTGAAAAATATTTATACGTGTCGTTGCAATAAAATAAGCAAAAGTTAAAAAAAAGAGTGGCAATTGTAGCTCGACACTTTCTTCTTCGATCGAAGGTGAGGAAAGAAGTCAAAGCGTGCACGTACAGGTGAGAGGAAAGGAGGAATCACAAAGTAAGAACGTTTTGGCATAGGGTGTTTTCCGCCACGGTGGTGGTAATATGCGCCGACTTTGGGGTGGGGGTTTCTTTCGAAGGCTTAAAAGGCCTACCAACGTCCTTGCAACACGCAGTCTACGAATCAGAGCTAATACCGTGCCGTCTCTGACTTCTTCCTATGTAAAGGAAATTCCTGTGTGAAAGCTTTTCCATCATATTACGCTTACTGCAAATAGTGGAACACGTCAAAGAAGAAAGTAGAAGTTTTGTCGTTTAAGAGTTTGTCTATTCGTTGATAAAGAAATTTCGTGACAAAAATATCTAAGTTTCAAAAGCGATATATAAGAAACAAATAATAAACTGAAGGAGGACTAAGTAAATTAAACGAGTGATTTAACTTTTGTTTTATTTCTCTTATTATTTTTCATTTTGTCAATTAGAAGATTTACCTGTAAACGTTACGTAAAGTGTTATTGTACTTTTTGAACGTGATCACGAAAGTGATAATTAAAAGATTATTCAGAGAAAATAGATAGTTTTGTTTTGTAGAAGACAAATATTCATTAACAATTAATAATATGAAGGAGAAAACGAGTTTTTGGATTTGTTCGTTGGCTCTTATCGTTATTTTCGCTATTTTACCGTCAATGAGCCATGCGCTTACAACTTTTGGAAAGACAAATCCACAAAATCAAAATCAAAATCCACCGCCGCCTCCTACTCCGGGTAAGTCAAAGGGAAATTTTTAAGATAATCCTTGACAAACTAACGTAATCCTTAACGGATAAAAGTTATTAAATGAATTGATCAAAGAACGGACAAGAAGCTTTTTGGCTTTGCTAACGTTTGACGATAATCTTTTTCCATTTCTATCATTTCCTTTACCTATGCTCAATGGTTTGTAAATTTTCTAAAGCCGATTTATTATTCTTCCTCTGTCACACATTTTTCATCTCTTAAAAAAGTAAAAAGTGCGTACTTAAGATGGAAATAATTAAATTGATGAATTTTTTTTTTCAAGAAATTCATCCTCTGTAATTCTTCGATGCTGATTCAAGTACCAAATAGTTGTGTTCTCCAATTTTCGTATTTGAATTATTCTCGAAAATGATATTCCTCGTATTTCTTGACATCCTCATAATGTTCCTCTTTTTTTCTTTAACATTATCTATTACATCGAAACAAATCCCTTAGTTATGGTGCGACAAAGTTGCATATCTTACAAGGGAATCTCGGATTTGAGTGCCAAGGGCACGCCGTTCGCAAGTGCATACCAACCTTTTTAAATGCCGAAGGTGAATTTCTTCAAACAGACTCGAAACGTTGAAAAATTAGTATTCGTCAAATCGATAGTTTGAAAAAGATTTTTTCTTTATCACGTTACCGATCGTTTCAATCAATTTTATTCTACACGATTTTATATATCTTTCGATGGGAGAGATGTTTCCAAGCAAATAAAAACGAATGACTTAAACGTGCGGTAACATCGTTTGGTAGAAAATTTATGTATTATTGACTTGGAAGGAATTTTTTGTCCTTCCTAATGTTCTCCTTGATCTTATTTCAGTTGGAAAAGCGCGTGAATGTAGAATGGAATCGGACTGCGCTGGAATTCAAAACACTACGTGCTTGGCCGATTCACGGGATGGAAGGACTCGTTGTCTTTGTGGTGATTATAATGCGCCAGTAAACGGTGCTTGCACCAACAAATACAAAGGTACAATTAATTTTCTCTTTTGTAAAGAAATATAAAAAAAAAAAAAAAAAAAACAGATAAAACTTGTACGCATTTCAAAGTTTTCCTGCTACTACTTATCAAGTAAATTGAAACTTCGAACAGTTAGAATAGAAGTTCTACAAGTTGGTGGCACATAGAGTAACATTTGCATACACTTACGTGTTCCCTTGCAATATGTGAACATATGACGATGTACGTATCGCGTTTATGGTTATCTATGCAAATTGGCACGCCTTTAGAATACTACTATCGTTTCGTTTCTTACGTTGTGCCGATTCATCGTCTTTTCTTCAAGAATATTCAATGTTTTTTTTTTTTTGTTAATAAAAATAAAAAAACAATCAAATCAAATAAAATAAGAATAAGAATAAAAAGAATATTACGAACGTACGATCAAGTTTGCTATCTTCTTTCAACACGATCATAGATTAAAAACAAAATTATCCATACATCGCATGTTGTAGAGTGATTGACAGACGAACCAATGAATATCAAAAGATTTATCATTTGAAATATGCATGTTAACGAACAATTTTAGGAATAGAACGGAAATCGAACAATTTGAATTGATGAAACGGTATTAAAAGTGTACCTACCAGTCTATCATTTTGTACTGGCAAGGTGTACACGTTAGAAAGTTAAACATGTCAAGCATATGTTTGATATGTCTTAAAGAATTAATTTCGATCGATTAGTTTAAACTATGTGTCATAGATTATTTCCTAAACAACAATTAGAAATGTTGACTCGTGAAAAATTAAAACGTGACTTAAAGTAAGTTGACTTTTTCTTCGAGAATCTATTGAAATTTAGTAATCAAGTCCGGCGGCCTACTTTTTCATCAACGTTAGACAAATATTTTCTTTTCTATCGGAAAAAAATGTCAAGCTTAGAAAAATGATAATGGTATTTTTTCAATTTTGTATATTTTCAGCTATCAGAGCACCGTGCAACGATGATAGCGAATGTATCGAAGGTGCGCATTGTATTGTTAAAGGAAATAACACTAATTCTGGAAAACGCTGTTACTGTCGAGAGGGATACGTCGAGGATAATTTGATGTGCAGCGGTAATATATCTCTAAAATCTTATCTTATATTAAATCGAGATAACATTTATTTAACTTGATTAAATTTTTTAGGCTGTTCATCCATCCTCACTAATATTTCCTGGATACTGTTTCCGATATTAACGGTGTTCTTAGGAAGGATTAATTACTTATAAATCCTGCAATACGTTTCAATGAAATATCTCTTTTTGAAAAAGATCATTATTTAAACAAATCTTTATTATCTTATGTACAATGATCTATGACTATTAATAATTTCGATAGCATTTCGAGTCAATGATCAGAAGAATTTTCTTTTTTGTTTCCTTCTTCATTTATAAATTAGAACACTTGAGTAAAAAAAATATCTTAAATTCTAGGTACCTTCTACGTGTACTTTCAACGTATATAAATATTTTTTAATAGCATGTTTTCATTCGATTCAATTTACGTAATATATATATATAGAATTTGATTTTTATTGTTCCTAGATATACATAAGTATATGTGTGTTTTATTACGTATTAAGTTTACAATCGGATAATCGTATCATTGTCGATTATAAAAAAAAAAAAAAAATTAAAAACAATGCACCATAATTTTATGTTTAGAAAAAAACGAAACTTTGATCTAGCGCGTTCGTTTCCATTAAAAATAAACAACTCTCTCTCTCTCTTTCTCTMTCTCTCTCTCTCTCGATAAAGTATAAATTCATTAGTATACGATCGATAAGTTAAAATTCACTATGCGTCGTGAATTGTACGATGCATAATCGTATTTGTTCTTATTATCAGTAATATCAAAGTTCGTTCACAAATTCATCGGAATATCGTGGCGCATAAGATATAAATATTATATAATAATATACTGGTTGGCTCAGTTTTGTTTTTGTTTTTCTGTAAAATTTCTTCAACATATTCTATATGAAAAAATAAGGCATGGACTGTGAAAGTTAACACAAGTCAAAATTTATTGACATGATAATTGGCCATGAAATTGGTCTCCATCGATCTTATCAATCGTTGAGGATAATGCAATAAATGTTATCGAAATAATGATCATCTTCTAGCAATTCTGGCTACAATTCGTTTAATAGAAAACTGGGACATCTTTTATATCTATTATTTTAATAAATACATGATTCAGACTGTATTTTAAGATATAGTAATTATTTGTAATTTATTTCTCGACTATATAATGTGCAATTTATTTGAAGTATGGCATAATTAGGCGCTTGATTAGTAAAACATTATTAAATGCGTCTGAAATTATATTGAAAGATTTAATCTAGATGGAAATGATTCTCGATCTATGGATATTTACAACAACAAAAAAAAAAAAAATCTCTGAAGTACATCGACACTGAATAACAGTACAACGTGTATTTGAAATTATTCTTATTCTTTACTTACAATTAGTAGTAGAACGTGGAGTCTGCATATGCCAATGATGCCTTAATGTACCAAAGATATTGCACTAAAGGAATAACGTTAATTATCTCTAAGCTAATGCATATATATATGTATAAATATTTTACATATATATATTAAAAGAAAATATATAGTATTTATTATCACGATATATTTACTTTAGTGTTAGTGCCTTTTGTAAAGTTTGTAATTTGATAATGGTTTAAAAAATTTCTAACACTCTTTCTTCTTCGATTTATGTACTTTCGATTTTTCGTGCACGAATAAATTTTCGAATCCTTAACAATTTTTTACCATAATCCCGATTTTGCTTTTTTTCTTTTAAGTCTATTTTATATCAATGATAGAATATAACAACAGTTTTACAATTAGCGAAAAAAAGAAGATAAATTTTTGTTCAGATAAAAATAAATTTGGATTTATTTAGTAAAATTACAAAATGTAATAAGAGCCATTGATAAAGTTAAACTTTATTCATTTTTTTTTCTAAAAACCAATTGTGTAACAACATTACCCTGTTTTCCACCAAATCGGAATGAATCAACAGGAAGCTCATCGATAAAATCGAACTCTGCAAAATAATTATAGAATAATTAGTTTTATTAATAATACTACGGTTCTCTAATTGAGCTTACTATTTTTAAAATGAATGAGTAATTCATCTTTTGTCCAATTGCAGGAAGTTAAAATTAGAAATCCGTTTGGTTGTAGGATATTGTAAACATTGTCAATGTATTTTCTTCTTTTATCAGCTGGCTCGTCAGGATGAAGGCTGATCGCATCGTAAGTTCCTTTATCGTGTGCTACTTTAAAGTAATTTGTTAATAATTCATGATTCGAGGTATCGAGAATATCGCACACTTGTAATTTTACACAAGTAATGTTATTTTCTTTTAATATTTCGTTAGCTAAATTTATAGCTTTCTGGGAATAATCTATTCCTGTTAATTGTTTAAAACCTTTTTTCGTGAGTTCTAATAAAATCATACCGTTTCCACATCCAATATCTATTATTTGATCAGTTTCCATATCGAGATTTAATTTCGTGCTAATCCATCTGTTGAAAAAATATATTAATTAATACTATGATCATTAATTTATATGAAAATAATATTAATATACTAACGTTTAAAGTCCTAAAAAAATACATATATATATATATATATATATATATATATATATATATATGTTTTATATTGAATTTCAATATTTTTTAATTAATTCTTGTTAATTTGTTAATACAAAATAAAATATAATACAATACAAAAGTCGATAACTCGTTATTTTTATTATTCATTATCATTAGAAAAAAGTGTCGATTAAATGTTTGAAGTTGTATGGTTTAATGACAGATGGCGCTAGTAGTGCGATATAGCAAGACGAATAAAATGCAGTTTATATTTTCGCGGCAAAGTGCATTGATCTTTCGCGTTCTCTTCATGTTTAGTTTATAAATAATAAAGTTGTATTATAAATGGTGTTCTTACTTAACAACATTTAGTGAAGCCTTATTACCAAACCATATTTCACCGACGTCCCCGTGATCCTTGAAATTATCGAGTTCTTCGGTGTACACCTTTTCCCAACTGCAAGAAGGAAATTAAAGAGATGAACGTTAGATTTTCTCCATTCTTCTTAGTACACGAATTTGGTAAGTTTATTTAACTTACAATTCCAAAGTACCCAGATCGGATGGTCCCAATTCTTCAATAATTTCATCTGTCATGGTCTTATTTAAATATCTGTCATTAAGAAAATTCTTATTTCACGACATTACTTAGTTAAATATATATCATAAATAACATACCTTTGCTTAACGAGAAATCCACTTGTCTCTTACGAAGGTTGTATATTCTGGTAACGTTGCGCGTGTTCGGAGCTCGCTGACACTCGATATACATCGAACATAACCTATAACATCAAGTATTGGTTATCATTGTGATTTAGCATTACTCGTCAATTTTGCGATACGTTTCTGCTACATTATTTAACCATTTCGTAAAGTGTATTTATTGTCGAGATGAATATAATTAAATTATCAAGTTTCATACAATTAGGTAAGTAAATTGTTAATACTATTTTTTTTTTCTAATTCATTTTATCTATCATATGTCCATCACTTTACTCATAACTTTCATTAGAATTATGTAAACTGTGTACAGTTTAAAAAAATATTGTATGACATAAATCATTTCATATGCAGGACAATGTGCAGGAAAAATATTGCGTTTGTCTACACGTGCTATTTCAGTTAAAACGCATGCCAGTCCTTTAAAAAGGGAAAAACCAAAAACTGGTATATTAATGTTGAACATGGGAGGACCAACTAGTACATCACAAGTACATCAATATTTGTTACGCATTATGACAGATCGTGACATGATTCAGTTACCATTTCAAAGGTTTTTTATTTTAACATTTGCTTTTCATAATTATGTTGTATTATTTATTGAATTTTTCAAGCTTCATTTGAAATTATATTTTAGTAAACTAGGTCCATGGATTGCTCAAAGACGTACACCTGAAGTACAGAAAAAATATTCTGAAATAGGTGGCGGTTCTCCTATTTTGGAATGGACAAATAAACAGGGTGAATTATTATGTACTAAATTGGATGAAATTTCACCAGAAACTGCACCACACAAGTATTATGTAGCTTTTCGTTATGCTGATCCTCTTACAGAAGATACGCTCAATGAAATAGAACAGTAAGAATTAAAAAACATTTGCACACATATAGAATGAAACAATGAGAAAACATTTGTTGTGTATATTTTTAGAGATGGAGCAGAACGCACTGTAATATTTTCACAATATCCGCAGTATAGTTGTGCCACATCTGGATCCAGTTTTAATGCTATATACAGGCACTATAAAAATAAGTAATAGAAGTTTTTGTATCTTATATACTAGTTTCATCAAGATTGACAAATGAAATAATCTATTGTTTTCAGAGAATTGCCACAAGATATGAAGTGGAGTATAATAGACCGGTGGTCAACGCATCCACTTTACATCAATACTATTGCTCAAAGAATTATGGATGAGCTTGCACATTTTCCTAACGACAAAAGAAATGAAGTTATGATTTTATTTTCTGCTCATTCTCTTCCTTTAAAGGTTTTACCTTTGATTTATTTAAAAACTTAGTTCCTTTATTTTCTTACAAATATATTGATTTGATTTAATTTATTTATTCTAGGCAGTGAATCGAGGTGATCCATATCCTTCTGAAATTGGTGCTACGGTTCAGTTAGTTATGCAAAAATTAAACTTTTGCAATCCATATAGTTTAGTGTGGCAATCCAAGGTACATTCATTTTTTTTAAACATATATTGTCAGAAGTAATTAACAAATGTGATGTATTCTGTAAAAAAAAATAATAAGGTGTAAAAAGGTAGATTTTTATTTCTTATAGATAAGAATATGGTGTCTATAATGAGAACAATTGTAATTCTGCTAAACTATTTATTTACTTGATAATTTATGATAATTCACTACACAAAAAACAAAAAAGAGTTACGCATATCTTTTAATTAACACGTTTATCTTGAAAAGTCATTTTCATGCGTTATCTTTCTTTTACCAGAGTATGTGACCTATAATAATTAATTTGTTCTTTAGGTCGGACCTTTGCCTTGGTTAGAACCATACACGGATAATGCATTAAAGAATTATGTAAAGCAAGGAAAGAAAAATTTTCTTTTAGTACCTGTTGCATTTGTCAATGAACATATAGAAACACTTCACGAAATGGATATTGAATATTGTCAAGAATTAGCGGAAGAAGTAAGAAAATAGTCATATTAATCAATCGTATTTTCAATACAATAGTAATATTTTTTAATATTTCAGATTGGAGTTGAAAATATTAGAAGATCAGCAGCACCTAATGATCATCCATTATTTATAGACGCTTTAGCCGATATTGTTTATAATCATTTACGATCCGAACAGACTATTAATCCTAAATTTTTGACGAGATGTCCTCATTGCGTTAACAAAACTTGCGAACAGAGTAAAAAATGGTTTTCACAAATTTGTAGGCCTTAAGATTAATGGACTAATAATAAATTATGCTTTATATACGTATATATATTACATATATATATATATATATATATATATATAATATAATATAATAATATTTAGAGAGTAATATATTTATATATTTATAACATTATTTACTCGGTAAGTTAATAAATATATCTGGGAACGGATTTATAGTTTTTTTTTCTCTGTACAATCACATCGATCGTATAAAAATAATAATACTTTTGTTAATAATCAGAAAAAAATAAATAGATAGATCGTATTTTATGGCATGATTATATAACGTCAACGCAAAATTAAGCTCACGAAATAACCACGCCTGTTTAAGGCCAATTGAATTGACCTCCTATTTGCATTCTAATACTATTGCGAGAAGCATTCGACCAATATACTTGAGATCATACTTAAACGAATTTATAAGAATGATTATTGATTAGAGAGAGAGAGAGAAAGAGAAAAAGAAGAGAATCAACATTTATAGATAATTGAATGAAAGTTTGAAGCATTTACAAGTGTCGTTAAGTTACAACTTAAAAATAATCGATAAGATTGGAATGATTAGATAGTTGATGCCGATTAAAAGATAATTGATATAAAATATATCAACTTTATTTTTTTCAGTATTTCATTCTAGAACGCATGATAAAAATAACAGGCGTGTGCAGTTCATTCGTTAAATGTGAATGAATGCATAAATAAAAAAAAAAAAAAAGTAAGGAAAGAAGTAATCTCATTTACTATAATCGTATATATTAAATGATACAAATAGCTCTCTCGTGATCTCAAATTGACACTCGCGTTTAAATGCATTTTTCAGATCGCAAAGCCGGGGTATATCGTCTGGACGACAAGAATAATAACAATAATAGTGGGATTGGTGGTGGTAAAGATAGGAAAAAGAAGAAGAAGAAGAAGAGCAGCAGCAGCAGCAGCAGCAGCAGCAAGGATAATAATAAAGATAAAAAGGATAAAAGAGGGGGAGAGGGTTGCTGTGGTGGTGGTGGTGGTTTTCGTCTTCCACTTCGTGTGAGGAGCGTAGCCGAGTGTTGGAAATATCGAGCGCGTGAGCGCCGGCGTGGCGCTGTTCACGACGGCGCCTATATAAATGTAGAATGTCGGCGGGTGCACTCAGTACGTGTCATGCTTTTCCAGTGGAAGGGTTGTCCGTGATGGCGGCCCGTGTGCGGTTGAAGATGCAATGCGGCACCGTATCGTTGCCGCTCGTTGTTTTCATCGTTGTGTGCGGTGTGGATCTTGTTTGTGGAATGTTCGAGCATCGACATTGTAATCATCAACCTCTCCGTCCACACGAGGTAACATTTTCATTATCATTATTAATAACATTATTTTTCTTATATCATTTTATTATTTCTTTTCTTCTTCTTTTTCTTCTGTGCACTCTCGTTTTCTCTTTTAAATATCCTTTTCTCCTTGTTCTTTTCTTTTTCTTCTTCTTCCATATAAGTTTGTTCACGCTACTACTGCTGGTCTCTTCACTAACCTTCGTCCTTCCGTTCGAAGAACACAAGACGAGATATGCCGGTTCGACCGGCTCTGCTCTTTTCCCCTTGTCTTCTCCCTTTCATTCTATCCCCCTCACTCTTACTTTTCGTTTCCTTTCTCTCTCTTTCTCTATCTCTGTTTCTCTCTCTCTCTCTCTCTTTTTATCTTTCTCTTTCTCTTTCTCTTTTCTAGTCCCTCCCTCTTCATACGTTCTCTCCTTGCTCAATCTCTATCCTTACCTCTGAGGAATCTTTCCTTCGGTAGACACGTTCAACACGATTTCTTCTATGGATTCTTTAACTTCCGTGTGTTACGACGAAACGTATATTTTCGCGCGTCATGTCTTCTTTTTCTTTCTTTCTTTCTTTCTTTCTTTCTTTCTGTCTGTCTGTCACGCTTATGATCGCCGGATCTGCGGAACAGAGAACTTTCGAAACAATTTTTGTGTTCTTTTTATACACGTCAAAAGGTCTTTCCTCTTGTCGATGAATGCGGTAGACCATTTGTCCCTGGTATTTGTCAATATTGATGTCACGTATTATTATTCCACTAGTTTTTTCTGTAGAAAGCAAAGTCCTCAGCAGAATGACAGATCGATCCTTCTTCTTTCATTTACATGTCGCGTTTCGTGTCTCTTTAAATCGAACGCTGCTGAGTCTCGTGACTTTGTTTTGCGTTCGACGAGCGTATCGAGAACGTTGGTAATTAATGTCAAGTGTTCCGATAATTTGTCCCTTTTCCAAGGAAACGCCGTCTCGATAATAAACCTTTTTCATTTCCGATACACTTATTTCCTTTATTTTTTATCTTGCTAAAGGATTTAGCGAATGTCGAGAAGATCATCATAAGAAGATAAAAAGTCACTAAAAAGACGCGCGCACGTGGGGTAAGTTCAACATGCGCGAGCAGACCACGTGCTTTTATCGTGGTCACGTGCTTTCTCTTTCTTTCTCTCTCTCTCTCTTTCTCTCTCTCACACACAAACACACACACACATACACACACTTTCTATTTCTTCCTATCGTTCTGTTTTCCTTTTTATATTTTAAATATTGAAATTATTATTCGAGTCGTTCTCAATTTTGATTAATCGTTTCTCATATAAATATTGATAAAGTTTTTTTAACAATATTTTTTGCATGAATTTATTTAACGTGTCAAATTGTTCCTTCATTTTTGTCAATTTTATTTTCTTCTCCTTTAACTTTAATTTATCACTCTTACAGGATATGTTTTTTTTTTAGAATCTATCTTTGATGTATCGGGCAATATCCTGGATTTGTAATGTGTGTGCATACCTATGTGTAAACATGTAACATATTTATCACGTGGCAGTTGTTACACTATGATACGCATGGCTGAGTTTTCACAAACTCGATCGATACTATTCACGGTCAAGTATTATATCGTTGAGAGAGTTGCAATCACCACCTCTATATTATTCGTACATGTGTATATATATATATATGTTATATAAATATATTTACCTATATACACACGATGACGTTGAATCACCTGAGCTTATTCATATCAGCTTCGTTGCCAATCGAGACCGTCATATCCTATAACTTTCACCGTATCGGTGAACTTAATTATGGAGTTTATATACCGTTCTCGATCGTTCATCATCAAAAATAATTTCATTTCTCTAAATTCTTGTTATTATTTTATTTGTTTTATTTTCGATAAAAACAAAAAAGGAAAGAAAAAAAATTGTATCGTATTAACACACCCTGCAACCATGTACCGTTTTCGGTATCGATTTATTTTTACGCCAAGTGATATGTAAGTATTTTTCTTATTGAAAAGTAAACAAATTACGAATGAAAAAAAAGAAATAAAATATTTTAAGTTAATATTATTTTAATCATATATTTTTTTGTTATTAAATTACATTTATGTTCTGCATGGATTTCCTTTCGATCATTTTTGTCTTTTTATTCTTATAATTTTCTCATTAGGTATTATCAAATAACATTTATTTTATTATATTACGCAAATTACTTTTTTTAAGTATTTAAAACGAACATTGAAGAAATAAATTTCGAGTTAAAAAAAAAAAACGGAGACAAAATATGCAAATGTTGCGAATATATTAAATCTTATTATAGCGTTTGTACCGTTTTAGGTACACATGATACGGTGATGATGACACTTGTGTTAGTCAACTGCAGTTTGACAGGGAAACGCGTGTAAAATAATATAATTAATCATATCTTTTCATTTTCAGAAGATAATAATAAATGTGATCACGAATCACGAAAGAAGAAATAATTTACAAATAAAATTTCTTTTTACAAATCTATATATATATGTACACGTTTTATTATTTGCTTAGAAATTATGTAATAAATCAGATATAATTTGTCGTTTTACATACACGTGTGTATATATCGTGGATCAATTTTTAGCGTTATATTTCGTCAATTCGAGGATCAATAATTCTTAATTAATGTACACAGCTATGGAGCCCACGATGTTATGAATAACTACGGACAGTGGAGTTAACTTGAATCGACTACGATTGCAAGAGAGGAGAACTATTGCACTTGTCGATAGCGTTGCAGCTGTTACGTGCACTTTCATTTGGGTTCTACTATTCTCTCTCTCTTTCTCTTTCTCTCTCTCTCTCTGACTCTTTCGCTTTTTCTCTTTCATCCAGTTTTTCTTTTTCCATTTCGTATCCATCCTTTATTTTTCGTACGATACAAAGCAATCGGTGAATGCAATTGAAATTTTGAAATCATCATTTTTCTATTTTATCTCTCTCTCTCTTTCTCTCTATTTTTTTCATTTTTTCACTTTTACATTTTGTTGGAAATAAAATTCATGAAAGAGGTACGTACGTAAATATTAGGATATAATATGTATTTATAATATACATTAATGTGTAAAAACTATCGCATATTTTTCTCCTCTTTTCTCTTTTAATTTTGTTTGTATCCTCTTTTCAAAGAATGCATTCTATCGCTATTTACTTTTTTATCATACACTTATAATCTCCTTCTTCTTCCCTTACAACCTCTTACAACCAGCCCTTGTCGGCTGCAGGTAGAATGCGCCCAAAGTATATATCCCTTGCTTGTCGTAAAAAGTCGATTAAAAAGTGTTGAAATAGTTCTCTCGAGTCTATTTCGTAAAATAAAATTTGGTATTTTGAAATTACCTTCAATTTACATTTTTGTCTATTTCTTTTCAAAAGTAAAATGGTAATTCTCTTTATTTTAATTATTTGATCAATCATTAGTAGAAACAAGATAAATGTCAAATTAGAATTAATCAAATTAAAGTACAAAATTGACTGTTACTTTTGAACAGATAGATCATTTCACAATCAACAAGTTATTATATTGCAATTGAATGAAAATATGAAAATAATAATTTGAGGATATTTGATTTAATTTGAGCAAAGATTTAAGATCTAATTTTTGTTTTTTTTAAATTCACAATACTTTATTAAAACTTATAAATATTATCTGTAACGTTCGAAACAATTCAAAAATGGTTTCAAAAACATTTTTTCTGGGTTTAATAATGTTGTACCTTGTGAAACTCCTTTTTACTGTAGCAATTTAATTTCTCTCTCTTCCTCTCTCTCTCTCTTTTTTTTCATATCTTATACTATCTCACTTTCTCTATATGAAAATGTAATATTTCGTAGGGCCTTAGGACACGTTATATGGTCAATTTGAGAAAGATCAGGTGTGTTTCGAGTATGGTCTATTCGTTGGTGAGAGTACAAGCATTTTTTAGTTTTCAAACGAGGACTGTTAGTCGGTAGGGAACGTGTAGGAAAACGTTTCGTACAGGTTAGAACGATGGAAAAAAAAAGGAGGAAAGGTGTGGGCGGAGGATGGTAGGAAGGAGGATGGCAGGAAGGAAGGAAGGAAGGAAGGAAGAGATACGTTCGTTTTAAGGACGCTTTCAGCCTGAATTTGAATGCGAATAAAAGTTTACGGTCGACGTGGCGTGCTGCTGGTGCATCTCTCTCTCTCTCTCTCTCTCTCTCTCTCTCTATTTCTATTTCTATCTTTTTTCCTTACCTCTACTTATTTTTCTCTCACGAGGCTTTTTTACGCCCTTCGTTCGTCCTCTATTCCTCCTATCTACTTTCATGTGTGTTGTGTGTGTGTGTTGTGTATGTATGTGTAGTATGTCTCTACCTCTTTTCCATCAATTTTTTTTCTTCCTGTTGTGCGTAAGTAAGATAAGTCCTTCCTTATCCGATGATCTCTCGCAACGTCACCGTAGTCTAGCCATAATTCATATTTTAACTCGGTCGACTTATTTCAAAAGTAAAACGCACGACCTTCGAGGAGGATGAGGATGTGGATGAGAAAAGTGAAGGAGGTAACAGATGAATTATGCGCGCTTCTTCTTGGCTCCAGGCCAACCCTTACTACCTCGATTATTTTATTTTATTATTATTATTTTTTCTTTAATATTTTCTCTTTTCTTCCATCTTGCAGTGATACTTTGAACGTTTAGGAAAAAAGCGAGCAGTAATTTCGCGTATAATTAATTTTGTTTTTTCTTCTTCTCAAATTTTACAAATGCAAACGAGTCTCGAGTCTCAAATTCATCCAATTTTGCTTTACGTTTGTAGGATTTATGTATGTGTGTGAGCTCATGCTTGTGTGAGGTATATATGTAGATTTTCGCGAGTTAGATACACGAATTTTCGCTTACTCATTTGCAAATACTCGCGTGTCACGTCGCATCGATGAACTTCCTTTGCAAATGTGTTCCTCGCGCATATTCGATGAAACAAGATTGATCCGCATATACAATTACCTTCTTCTTTTTCTTC